AGAATTAGATGTTAACTGGCCACAAGACACAACAACAATTTGAGTTCAGAACGTGTAATATGGTAGACATATATCACAGTTGCTCATATACAATCTTAAGGTCTCACTCAATATCTGAATACTTTCCAAATTAGATGTTACAGTTTGTTCATAAGCAATTTTGGTTTGTAACTAGCAGTTTAGAAGTGGACACCGAAAACCTCAAAATTAAATTGTGGTGAATGGTACAGTTTGAAGAAGTATATACTACGTTTAATTGGAGCTATGTTTACAGCCTATTATTAACTGCTGGTTGACTTTTCCCCACACACCAGCAAAGACAGTAATAAGTAAATCATGGTAGTGATGGGCAACATAGTATTTGAAATGTATTTTTACAAAGTCTCAGCTGATGAACTTTCTGCTGACAGGCACTATCTGAGTCCAGAAATGAAATGTTCTGATCTGATTAAAATATTATCTATCAATGGAGAGCAACTGTATAGTAAAGTTCTTTGAAAGTTAAACTTCTTTTAGAGGTCTTAGAAGAATGATATTTCATCTTTCACAAAATATGATTTGCATCTTTAATCTTCTTATTAAACTCCAACGCGTAAGTGGTGAAATATCATTAACAGCACGAATAATCTAGAAGCACTTTCCTTTTTAAGAGGTTTATCTATTTGGGGAAGAACAAAGAGAGAAAGAAAGAAAAGAGAAAAGCCAATTGTGAGGTGATTGGGAGATTCAGGCTGGACATTAGGAAATGCTGCTTTTCTGAAAGAGTGGTCAGGCACTGGAATGGGCTGCGCAGGGAGGTGGTGGAGCCACCGACCCTGGAGATGTTCAAGGAAGTTTAGACGTTGTGTTGAGGGATGTGGTTGAGTGAGAACTATTGGTTATTTGTGGATGGTTGGACTGGATGATCTTGTAGGTCTTTTCTAACCTTGGTGACTCTATGATTCATCTGGATATTAATAATATAACATTGAAAACAATTTCAGCAATTTTTTTTTTTTTTCCATCTGTCAACATTTTGTTTAGAAGTATAGAGAAATCATTGGTGTGGGGAGAAGACTTCAATTCCTTCTTACTTGTTCAACAGGTATGCTGCATATACGATGTGGACATGTGAGTTCCAGTGCTCTGAGGACACATTGCATCAGAATGGCTTTTCCTGCAAAATGGGTCATAGCTGTATCCAGGGAAACCATCAATGGAAGTTCCTCTTATCTTTCTTTATGGAAGGAAAATCTATCTGTTTCTGTGCTAAAATGCTGCTTCTGCATGAGCCCTGCAGAAATCCTGGCTGCCACTACAGTTTTCTGCAGTGCCCGAGGTAAGGAGTCACAATGGTTGCCATATATTACCATCCCACTAGCACTATGAAAGTTGGTCAGAAAGAGCATTATAGATAGGATTAAGTATTCTGTACAAGAACAGCTCTTGAATCCTGCAGATGTCCTGAATATCTTCAGCTGCAATCTAAATAGAGCTGTGAGAGGGCCAGTACTTCCGTGGAAGCACAGGAGTGCAAGCAGGGGATTCCTGCTTTGGGGAGAAGCCTTTAGGCAAATCTGATGCAGATATTACATACACAGATATAAGGAATGGAATCCTTATGTATGATTTTCTATGAAACCCGTTTACTTACCATAGGTAAGAATTTCCTAAGTAAATATTCATATCGTAAACCTTTTAATATGATTTTTGAATGAGCTTTTGTGTCAGTTCTCCTGTGTTACAAAAGGATTATTGAACATTATCACAACAGAACATAATAAACTAATGCTTAGCAGGCCAACTCGCCTAAAGGATGTTAGGGTCTGTCTTAAGTTGCTGTGAGTACTCAGCATTTAAGAAGACTGAAACATATGGTGAGAATGGCTTGATTTAATGCTTGGAAAGTAAGTCCAAAAGTGAGGGTTTAGCTAAAGGTTCATGCCTCCGTTGGTAGAGTTGAGAAATTAAATCAGATACTGTTCACCATTGAATACTTATTATTGAATAGAAACTGCATAAAATATTTATTAGCTTGAAGTACAGCTCTTAGATTTTTTTTATTTTTTTTTTTATTTTTTTTTTTTTCAGAGAGCACGAGGAAAATTGCTTAGATATGACATTCAATTTTGAGGTCAGAAACTCAGGTTTCACCTTTAGTTCTATTCACCTGGGACATTCAGACAGTTGAAAATGAGTCAGCAGCTACTTCCTTTAACCCTATGCAATGTGCTGACTGTTAGGAAGTGGGTTTTTTGGCCAGTGATCTAATTACCTCTGTCCAGGGCAGAGACAATGACTTGCCATGGGCAACGCTGCAGGTAGCAACCAGTATTTGTGCCGTTTGCAGTACAAGCCAGTCAATACAGCCCCATTATGTCTATCACTGCATGTTCTCATGGGAAGCAAGTGCTACTTGTAAGTTGCAAGATAAAGAACTCCAGAAATATATACATCAAAGGGCACATTTCAGCCAAACCAAGTCCTGAATTCATTTAGAAGAGAAGAATAGCTGTGCTAATGGTGCGTGATGTGCAGGAAGTAGACAGGAAGGTCAGTTTGATTTGGCTTATGTTCATATAAGATTGGCAAGGGAAAAATTTAGGGTATTTGCTTTAGCAGCTGTATCTTCTTGTTTCAGAACTCTTTCTGATGGCAAGATGACTTACGTCCTTGCCAAAAACTCACATCTCTGCAGTCCTTGATAACTGCCAGGCTAACAAGTTGAATGATTCATAAATATTGCTTTCCTCTCATGATAGTCACTTTCTTGGTCAGGACTGCTATTATTATTAACAGTTTCCCTACTAGCTCTGCTTTCCTCTCAGACTTAGCAATGCTCAGTATTTGCTTTCAAAGTGCAATCAAGATAGTTCATCAACATTTTGCTTTCAGATTTCATCTGCAATGTCCAGGCAGACAGTGACCCATGAGTAATATTTCTGATCACAATGAGCTTACTGTTAGCACATTCTTTCCCCATTGTTTCCTGTTGTATTCTGGGGCAGCAAGCCTTTCATGACGTACTTAGAACGTTGTACACAATGGGGCTTCAGTGACTCAGAAGGGTTGGGCTTCCATTACAATAGAAATAATAATGGTAATTTATTTTATTGATGCATTTGAATAGAATTTGCTGAAAAGTAAAGGAAATAGGGTTTGTGGATTGTGTTACTATAAAACCACGAGCAGCAAAATATTCAGCTCTCTCCAACATTTCATGTCTTCTGGGCATCCAAGGTAGTTGAGTTTGATTTACACAATCAAGCCATTCATTAAATATCTGTTTGAATTTTAGGCAGATGCATCCTTTACCTGAGTGATGAAATCTGAGTACAGGAAAGAGAGCTATTCCTTTGTGAAAAGACCCCATTCTGCTTCATAAAGTGAGCCTTGCAGCAATATACTTCTAAAAAACTGCCAAGCTTTGTATACCAAATACCGTTGTGAGGGCTTAGCAATAAAGCAGTTGTGGACTTGGGGTTGATCCAACCGCACAATAGCACATCTTTAAGCAATATTTCCTCTTTCAACATCCATCTACAGCTCTGTAATTCACTGACAAGTGTCAATTCATTTTAATTCCAAAATTCTAGACTAGAACACGAACCAGTTAGAGTCTGAATTCTTCTATGTGCTTAATAATTATTTAAATCACTAGTCCAAGTCACGTTCAAAAGAGCACTTGCTGGGGATCTTTCAGGGGCAGACTGAGCTATCATTTATTAGCACCTACTAGATTACACTGCGAATCAGAATTAAGGTTGGTATTTTCTAACAACAACACTCCATGTAGCTCGCTGTTGTAAAAGGCCTGAGTGCTAATGAGTGAATGGACAAGTGGCAAGTAAATGTTAGAGAGTATATGTAAAATATTTCAGTGAGTAGATGTAGTCCCTGTTAGTCCGTACTGGGTAATGACTTGGAAACTTGTTAGTTCCACAGGCAGGTAGGAGAGATGCTGGTTCTGTGACATACGTGCTCGATGTACATGTTTCTGCTGTCTTTAGCGGGTGAAGGGTGAATGGATGGATCTGTTCTGTGTTGCATATAGGGATGCATCTGTATTTTTGTGCATTTTAGCTTGTGTTATTATGGATAAAAAACTAAGAAGTTATGTCCATTTTACCTTCTTGTGCCAGAAAGGGGCAGAGCCCAGAACAACTGCTTCAAGGTAGCCATTCAAATGAGAACTACCATCTACTCTCGAAAGGCAGCTACAATATACTCACTTTGTTGAATAGTCAGTCATACATTCCACACTTACCAGTATAAAGGAAACTTCAAAAGTGGACAAGTTTCACATGACCTTGGAACATACGCCTGACTTTGAGTCCCTGAAAGGAATGACCTCCCCACCATTCATCATAGTGGCTTGTTAACACTCAAATGCACTGTTTTGAGAGCTCCTTACCAATATTAACCCATACAAAACCTGAATGGCAAGGGCAGGGTTAGGCAGAGAATTCGTACGTAACTAAATTTCCACTGCCCCAAGGAGCCCACTCTTCTGGGGGCTGCTTTAGTTGCTGTGCCTCCTCAGAACTGGAGTGGGTTCAGAGTCACCAGCATTAGGCAATTATGTGGTAGAAGAATAGAAGAAAATGTTTTAAAGATATTAAGGCATGATCAGCATAAACACAAACAAATGCATACACCACTTATATTACTTGATATTTATTTATAACCTCCATATTTTATTCATGAATTTTACAATTCCAAATATAATGAAACAGTTAAAGTACTTTATTACAAAGCTTATAAAATAATTAAATAATACACTTATATTTTTTGCTTTTTTTTTTTTTTATATCATAAGTCATATTTTGTGACACTGCCATTTTCTTTTCTCAGTTTTCACTTAAGGAAGTGAGCAAAGAAATATAAAGGAAAAGCTATGCATTAATAAATTAATTTTTTTACATCAAATAATAAAAAGGACACAATTATAAAAACAAAACAAAACAGAAAAAAACCTTGTTGTTTTCCTAGAAAAGAATTCATAATTATACAATGTCGAATATCAAGACAGAGCAGTGTAGATTGAGATATGTTTCCAATCATCATTTCTTACAGTATCATAGAATACATGTTTTTAATTTAAATTGTTGCAAAAGGAACTGATAATTTTAAGTGACCACTGTCTGGCATTAGTGCTGAGCTGGCTAATCTTATGCTGAATTGATACTTTAAAAAAAACAGTAAAATGCAGCTACATTCATCAAAAGAAGTTGTGGGATTGGGTGGAATTAGATAAATATGTCCCTTATAGCCACTCCCCAGAAAATTACAGTAGAACACAGCTCTGTCTCAGAACGGGTTTGGCAAATATGCTGGGTTGAATTTTTTTAAATTCAGAAACTTTTTAAGCTGTACCATTTGATGTACAGTGTCATATAACATCTTGGTATGGAATGATGACAAATATTGTTTACATTTGTTTTGTTTGCCAGTGGATTCTGAATTAAATGTAAGTATTAAGAGAGTGTATAAAAATAGAAATGATTTTTATTTGGTCAGAGAAAATAGACTGCTTAGTATTTGCAATTTTTTCTTGTCACCTGTATGAAAATATAACTATTTAGAGAAGTTCGGCATGAATTAATGGACTATAATATTTCTGTTCTTTCATTTGGGCAACTGATGAAACAAAATTTGCAGAGATTTGAGATTAAAAGGAAGACATTCTTCAGTATCTTGGCATTTAAACAACCTAGCTTCTGAAAAAAATCTACTTTAATATATCAAGCTTAAATTTTAAATTTACATATCTTATGAGCTTAGAAAGTTGAAAACATAACATTGAGCTCAATAAATCTGAGTTCCTTGAGTTAGTTGAAATATGAAATTCTATTTTACTTGTAACACAGCAATGTTAAAAGTCCAAATATTCTAACACTGAATATTTCTAGGAATACATTTCAAGTTACTAGTTAACCACCTCTGAGTTTCTAGACAAAGCAGAAAATGAATTCTTCAGAACAAAAACATAAGCATGATGCAAAACTTGCTTTTCCAGCAGCAAGTACAACAGAGAAGCACCATATATCTTTGTAGTGCACTATTTACTTCTTGTGGTCACACATGTGACACTGGGTTCTCCAAACAGTCATTTGAAAGTCTTTCTGTGAAAATGGCAGTAAACAGCTTCCTTGCCCTGGGACGATAATATCATAAAAGATAAAAAAAGGAAACACTTCTGATTCTGTGATCTGTCATGCTGCCATGCTGTAACCTTATTCCTTGAGATCCCAATCTCTTTTGCTTTGCATTCTGCTAAATTAGCCACAAAAGGCATCCTTGCCTGATTTTCTTCCTCATAACGTGACAGTGCAAAGTGACACTTGTAAGGAAAGAACTGCCCCTTGAGTCTGAGTGTTCAAGTGATCCATAGTACCCTGTACTTTAGTGAGGTCAGCAAATAATAAAAAAAAAAAAAAAAACAAAAAAAAAACATTCATTTTTCAATATATATCCAACAATTACTGTACCTCAGACATTCCCTTAAAAAAAATGTCTCTTCCATCAGTGGTTTACATGGCACCATGTATTGGCTCAAAGCAAAGTTAATTTCAACATAAATTGAAGAAGAAAATTTTGCCAGTGAAGGGTTCAGATAACATGCTGCTATCAGTTCTTCTTTGTGCATGATTTACAACATTGCTTGCCATAGAATTTGTGGTTACAGACACCGTGCTGGGGTACCAGATGACACCAGCTGAAGAAATCCACGCAAGAAGGATCATCTGAGAGAGAGAAATCCAAGCAACGTTTTAGCATTTCTACAAATCAGACAGTAGTTCCACCAGCACCTTGCAAAGTGACTTAATTTTCTGCATTTAGCTTTTTAGGGAATGTAAGGAATCGCACTTCTAACTTAAACACTTCAGTTAGGTGCCACGGATCAGGCTTTCAGGACTTTGACTATGCCATAGTGGTGAAAACTTAACTAGTGGCAATAGAGACGAGATGACAATGTCTTGTTCTGAAAAGCCCAGCTTCTAATTACAAAAATAAGTTAGAAAAAATGTATCATTATGATTTCATTTCACCAACTTATGTGCAGCTCATTTATGCGCATGGCCCAGTAGCTTTAAAAGCATTTCATAGTTACTCCTTACTAGAGTGGATTCTTTAGTTTTCTTTAGAAGAGCAGAGTGGTGATTCATATGGATGCTTTGTAAACAAATCAACAATGTCTGTGAGAGCAGCAACACATTTCAGTGAGATTGAGCAAAATTTGTAGCTAAACTGAAATCTCCTATGAACAGAGAACAGAATTTGTTTACATGATCTATAAAGGGACTTCAAAAGGAGGCACTGAAGAAAATCTAGCCAATGTTGTCTGCACTCTCAGATCAATCGTGGTTTTGGGAATTATCTTGATCTCTGTGTATGAATTTCTTTTGATTAGTTCACTACTTCACTTTTTTAACTTTCTTTTTTATGATGGTAATAGTGATACTTTTGTACCTTTATCATCCTCAGATTTATTTGAATGAATAGAAAAATGAAAAATACTGCTCAGCTTTTAAAAACATAATCCCATCTGTAAATGCTAATCCTAAGTAAAGAAAAGACTGTCCTTGAACAAGATATTTTATAGGAACTAGGAAGCTCAGTGTCATACTGCATATGCCTTAATTGAGTGTCAGGAGGGATGGATCTGGTAGTTTAGCACCAGCTTTCACTTTGCTTCAACTACTGCCCACCACACAGAACTTGGCACTGGGGAACAGACAGTGCCACTTTCCAAAGCAGTCAACAGATGAAAAGCTGCACAGCTCCAGGTAAGGAAAGCTGTTCCGAGTCGGGATGATCACCCAGAATGCAAGGGTAAATTTTCAGAAATTACAGATGACTGTTTTTGTTGTGGTTTGTTGTTGTTTTAACTTTATATGCAGTGAGGAGCTAATGTTAATAAATCTTTATCCCCTTTTGAAGACCAGAGCACAATGCTAACATTACAGAGGTGTGGCCAAAAACTTTATTCTTGGGACCTAATCCAAAGACTGTTGGAATAAACACAAAGACTCCCACTAGCTTCAGTGGATGCAGACCAGGCTGTCAGCTCCTTATTTCTATTTACTCAAGTATTTACATGTTGTTTTAATTTTGATTCATTTCAAGCAGTTGGATTTGTTAGGAGTTATGGTGACCGTAACTGCATCTAACAGATGGAAGTGACCCAGCTTGTCTAGGAAAGTGTGTAAACTCTCCCTGAAACATTAATTTCTTGACTGTGATCACTGAGCTGGAGCTGCATGGCTGATAATGGAGACTGATTTGCTTCGATGTGATTCCAGCACAGCTGGTTCCTTCTCTTTTTGCTGGTTTAGACAGAAAGTTAGAGAGCAGTGAGAAGATAATTGATCTCTAGAGCCTGACGACCCAGTTATAATAAAGGTGAAAGAGTTCCTGCAGATGTGAGGCAAGAAAGAAACAGGCCAAAGCCAAAATTAGTAACAGACATTACTTCAGACATGAAATATAGCGGAGGGAGACTGGGGTGAAAGACGAGTGCTTGCTGTATCATGACAGAAGAGAATGTAATACAGAAATTCTGAAGTACAGCAGAACTTCTTAGGAATGTTAATTAGCATTTGAATTGTTAAGAATATTTAATTAGAAAAACGGGAAAACTGCTCATGTATCTGCTTTAGGTATATTTTATCAGTATATCTGAGTTTGGATTCAGGTCTGATACTCTGCGTGTCTTGAGTTACTACAGTGGGTCTGACTCTTCAGACACCACTTCAGGGTGTTCTGCACTGAATATCAGGAATCAGTACAGATGAGGGGTTCTTGTCTAATATCAAATTACAAGGTGCAGGGCCAGAGGTTGACCATTGCTCCCAACTCCACTTCATTTCTCTTGCAATCCAGACGTTTTACAGACGTTACTTTCAGCATCTTGTTTTAAAATGGTAACAAGACACTTAATGAACAGTATATTGAAATATATGAAAATTAATATATATTGAAAATTAATGTTTGAAGTGCTTTAACATGTCTAGGTAACTGTTACTACACTGGACAAACCTGGACCTCCATTAATTTTTTTTTCCATCACTTAAGGCGTCACAAGCAATAGCCAGCTTTTGAGCAAATACTCTGGATAAATGCATCTCTCTCTTTCTTTGATGATTCTGAGAGAATTCCCATTCCATCACTGACACAAAGATTCTTGCTACTCCAGAACTCAAAACACATTGAAGATAGAAAGAGGGATATAGCAGTCATACAAGTTAGAAGAAAGCTGAATTTCATTTTCCCTGACCTATTGGGCCGTACTGATCAGGAGAAGAAGCAAAACTACAGTCTAGCAAAAGCATTTTTGAACACCCTGGAGGTTGTTGCAATCTGAAGCGTGGGTGGAATTTAAAAGACTAAAAATAAATTGCAAATTCTTACTGTTTAATTCTAAAGCCACTATTTTTAATCATAAAAGTGTTCCAGCATAGGACATTCAGAAAAGCATAAATTGAAGCTGCAGCTCAGAACCACACTGTACTAACTTTTAAATATGTGTGTGTATATATATATATATATATATATATATATAAATAAAACATATCTCTATTCTTAAAATCTCAGTTATACTCAAGTCTGCTTTAAGAGAGTTAACTCTGGGAAGAGAGATACTACAGTGTTGAAAGTAACTGGAAAGCTGCAAATATGGGAAAATTTGTGGAGGAGCGTGTCAAATTTAAATTTTAAGTGGGTGTAACGAAAAGGTAATTTTTGCTGGACATAGAGTATATCTATGTACATCAATATAAGCTGATGCAGAATGTAGAGATGAGTTTTACCTCTTTTTGAAGGGGCTGGGCAAAAGTTAGTATTGCAGGCTCTCAGGATTGCTGGTTTCTGATGGGGCAGGCACCCAGAGGCTGGTCTCCCTTGGCGTAGGCACTGCACGCTCCGGGTTTGCACTCCCCCACCACATGTTACTGTACACTGTAGACAACAACAAAAAAATTAATTATAGAGAATCTATCAGAGCCCATGAAAGCCAAAGGAAAATATTCTGAAGTGCTTTAGGTGAGACTTTCAGAGAGAGGTCAGGATCAGATGTGTCGATGCTTGGCGATTCCTATCAGGACCAGATTTTCAAAGGTGTGTGCATCTGTTCTGCATTCTTGAGTCCTTTCGAAAGTATGGTTATTTAAGGACTCAACTGAAAATTTGGTTCCTTACTTAGGCATGTAGACAAACTGAATATTACAGAAAACCCATTCCTGATTGGCTGCACTGACTTCTTTTGAACTCTAAGCCTCTGGGCCCAATCCTGCTGTCGGAGCAAAGATAAAGCTCCCCCTGGAAACATAATTATGGCAGTGTCTGGGGAAAAACACTATGCATTTGCAGGAAGATCTATGAAGTATTTTAGAGTGAATAAGCCTTTTACTTGTATGTGTTTCGTGAAAAGTTGTCTTTAAGATAAATATGATCATTTTCATCTGATTACAATTGTCAGGCATACATGCTTCATGTAAATGTTATTAAATGAGTGTGTGGCTCATTGATATGTGACTCATAAAGTAGATAAGTTCCAGAAATACAGAAGCTTATTTTCAAGAATGTAGAAACAAATACAGACTGATCCTCAAATTAATCATAGTATTTAGGGAATTCCAGGCAATCTGTGCAGATCCTGAAATACATTGTGCATATTGCTATGTAATAGTTCAATCACAGTGCAGTTAGAACACTGAAAAGGAAGTGTTGGGAAACAATAGTGGAATCAAGTGGCTCTGAAGCACAAATAACATTTTAGGGCAACCTTCTTGAATCTTACGACAAAGAAGTTAACTGAACCAAAATACATAGGAGGGATGAGAAAGCTTCCCATTCCTACCTGCTGCCAGGGTGAGGAATACCAGCCAGACACCATGTTATACAAAGTTTGGGATGGACAAGGTCCATTGTTACAAGCTTCTTCCAGGTCTATGTTTGGTTTCTTGATGTTTCTACATCTTCTCTGAGGAAAGGTAATTAATTTCCCATGGATGCTTTTCTCACCACATTTTAGTTCTCGCTTGCGTACACCTGGGCCACAGGAGGCTGAGCACTGCAAAAGCAAAGCACACCTTTTAAATCTATAGAAACACATTCGGAGGAGACTGGGCTACGCTCAAGATAACCTAAATTACATGAAACTACAAAAGCATTACAAAACCCCAAAGACCCCAAAGTCCACATGTGTAAACAGAAATATGAAGCTAAGTCACCGGAAGTCCAAAAAACCAAAGACATCAGAGTACATCTAACTACATCTGAATGTAAAGAACTGTGTTTTTATAGTGGCTTGCCCACAGCACCTGATTTTCAAATGTCAGCTTAGCTTTTCTTTTTTTCCTATGCTGTTTGTGTATGTGTCCCCAAGTCAACATTGTCAAAATGCCAAAAGGAAGGCAGTGAGCCCTACTTTACTTTACCTCACTCCAGGAAGCAATCACCCACTGGAGCCGGTCATTTTTGGGGCAGCGTCCCAGCACACAGGTCTGCTGGGATTCAGGTTTATGGTCTTGGCTGCACATACTTTCAGGCAAGATTTTAAGCTTGGGAGAACTAGTACTTGTGCAGTAGACATCCCGCTTCTTAACACCTCTCCCACAAGTCTTGGAGCACTGTGATGGAAAGAAATGTTAATTTGAGCTAGAAGAAATGGACATTGACATTATTTGTATTTTACAGCAGAACACAGGAACCATTGTTAATGTGCTCTGTAGCTACTATTATAATGCAAGTAAGCTTGAAATTCCATAACAGTAATATCTATGTGTCAGTCTTACAGTGTTTTTCTGAGTGCTTTCTTTTTGTAAATTATAAACTCTTAACAGCCCCCATGTAGGACAAGTAATATCTTCTTTTCCGTTGATGAGGAAAGTTGGATTTGTGAGCAAAATTGTTTTTTTCTCTAGACAGCACAGTTGAAAGCTACTTCTAACCTCCGATCTGAAAATCTTCCACAGCAAGATGTTCTCAGCTATTTGTTATCTTGTCCTCATGTTGGCCCAGAGGGACAAGAAAGAGACAGAGAAAACTACCTAGGGAATCTATACATAACTTCTTCACAAGAATCTCACAAAAAGACAGAATCTGACATAGAAAATGGTGAAGATGCTCGACCGAAGTTAATTGCCAAGATTACAACGAAGCTTAGGACAAGTCACTGGTGAATAAATATGTATTGCTTGAACTGTGGTTCAGTTGAAAAGACATTCCATAGCTTTCATTGCCTCAGCAGCCAACAAAATGCACTAATGAGCCATTTCTGATGAAATGAGGAAATAGCCCTGAAATAATTATGTGGACTTTCTATCTTGTTGCATCCTCTTCTAAGAGTTCTTACAATAATTAATAGGCACATTCCAACGCCGAATACCACATTATCAGTGTACAAATTCAATCATAAATGTTTTCTAAAGATTTCATGAAAGCAGAGTGCTCTGAAATAGAACAGAAATACCTGTTTGCTGAAAATCTCTAGTTGTAATCTTATCCCCAAACAGATGGAAAAGCCTTTCATTTAAAATGATTCTCTGATTTGTGAAGAGAGACTGGGTAGTTTGCATTTTTTTCTTTTAACTCTTTTGAGCCTGTGATATAGCAGCTTTCAGCTGACTTAAAATCTTTGCTAACTTGTTGAATAAGTCTGATAAGGACTTGTGAACTTAATTTTTATAGGTTAATTTAAAAAACCCAACTTGAATCATACAGCTCCTAAAGAAGGGGATAATTGATTGTTTTAAAATTTTTGGTAAAGTTTGAAAATGTGAATGTGTCTGAAGATTTTGTTCTTCCCTTTTAAATATCTAATTGTCATATCTGTTTTTCACAGTCTTTTGCCATAGTAGCGTTGCCTTCACATACACTGGAAGAAAAGATTACTTGTCTCTCCCAGTACATTACAGGGCACTCACATGGAGAAGCTTCTTAACCTGAAAAGCTTAGGTCAAGATGTGCTTGAACACCAAAGGAATAAAAGTACCAAGAGGAGTAATAGAATTTTCAGTAAATTTAAATCCACCTTGGGTTTCACTAAATGAATATGAAAAAATCAAAACAATTCTTTCTTATATAGGTTTACTGTCATCTGTCTCTTACATCTACAGATTTCCAAATACTTGATTTATCTTCACGTTCACAGCTTGTGCCAGCAGCAATAATAGTCACAGACAGAGCAGAAATGACTTTTGTGTAAGCATGTGTGTGCTTTTTAACTCAGACTGGTTTAATGTCAAGCTTTCCATAGGTTTGTGAAGCAGGGTGTGTACACACAGGAATCTGCCTAGGGGCCTTATGTTCCTCAGGGAGATTAACTGCTGCAGTGTTCTACTTAGAGTTACTCTAAGAAAGGCAAAAGTGGAGAAACAATTATTGTACGTGTAAATCACAGCTTTATCAATTCACAATTAAAAAATGTGTGTGCATTAATAAGTCCGAATATTTCTTCATTCCTTGGCTGCCAGTCTTCTCTAAGAAAAGCTAATACTGCTGTAGGAACTTACCTCAGACAGGAGTTAATGGCTTTGAAGAATTCACTGAACATTAAGTTACGAAACCAGAAAAAATCTTCCATCTGTTTGTATGCAGTTTGTATGCAGAAAGGACACCACATGTCCCCTTCTGGAAGCCCTCCTTTCTGACCACTTACAAAGGCTCATTAAAATATAGCTTACAAGTTATCATTTCAAATAGAACTATTTGTACAATATTGATTTTCACAGTTTGCACTGTTTCTTTCTGCATAGAATTTTTGGCATAATTTTCATTATGTCAGCAATAGGAAACACAAGTTTTTCTCCAGATTACCTGAGACCATTGTCCAGGGCTCCATTCAGGTGGGCATTCTTGACTATTGCATATCTGCACTTGTGTAGGGGTGCTAACAGGACACAGGGAATGGGCCACTACCTCCTCCCTTTGGAAAGCCTTTTTCTGGACACACTGGATGAGACGACTTTGTTGCCCTCCTCCACAAGATTTGCTGCATGCACTCCATTCACCTGCTGACCAGCTTAATGGAGAAAATGTATATTAGAAACACAGATGCCAATTAATTTTATAAAATCAACACACGTGAGTCCCCTATGAAATGTGAATTATTCAGGGATTCTGCTTAATCTACTCTACTGATGTACTGATTTCAATCGAAAAACTTTAGTTACTTAATCTTTCTTCAAAGAAGAGAACATTTTGAGTGGGATGAAATATAAGGAATACAGCTAGAAAAACTAGTATTGATTATTTACAACTCACACATCTACCAGAATTATCTTGCCTATTAATCTAACCTGGAATCTGGAATTCCATTTGGACAGAGAGAGGCACTGCCATTGAGCAGTATCTAGAAAATCTAACAAATCACCATTCCTTTTTAACCACGTCAGTATTTTAATTGAAAAAAAGCCCTCCCTGAAAATGGAAAAGAAAAATATTCCCCAAATACATGAGTGAATGATCACTTTTGTCACTTCAGCTGCTGAAGAGACCTCCAAATAGACTAACAGAGAAGAGAACAAAACAGAAGTGTGATGGATAGGCAGTAGATGAGATTAGCTCACTGGACAGTCCTGACCTTTGCTGTTACATTGCTCTCCTTGTTACCTCTCCTTCAAAAAAACACAAACCGGAAGAAAGTTCACTCAAGCAGATACGAGGAGAAAGCTGGCATTGCAGGGAAAATGGAACCAACTTAAGTAGACATGAACCTCCCATTGCATTTGTCACAGCTCAACAAATGTTGACACGATAGTATTCAGTGATACTAATGTCAAACGTTAGCTTGCCTCTATTTACAAAAAAGAATAGGCTTGCTAAAATCAGCAGTCCTGTCAATAGCGTTTGGAGGATTCAAATCTCCTCAGACTAACAAATTTGGCAGACAGAAGATGTGGGATCTAAATAAAACAGTAAGAATTTAACCAGCAAAAGCTGTTGGGCAAATCTACACTCCAGTCGCAGGCAAGCTTCAGTTATGAATACTGTCACTAAAATTACACAAAGACTGAAGAATCTGCCAATTGCTTAGGCTGAGTTCACTTTTGAAATGTCAATAGCTGCTTAGTATTGCTATTACTAGCACTGAGTGGGTCCCCAACCCTTGTGTAACTCTTCAGACACACATCCAAGCGTCTGTCCTCAAAGGTTTCCAATGTAAGATCATAGGGAACAACTAGATGGGAAAATGAGTGAAGAAAACAGAGGAAATTATGAATGATTAAAAGATTACTTGAAATCTCATATTGAAATATGCAGCACTGAACTTAAGTATTTTACAGATTTTTAATAATTTATGTCATAGAAAAGCTTGGTTGTCTTTTTTTGTCTCAAATCCAGCTGCTTGGCCTTCTATGGTTTCCTACAGCATTCACCCTGTGAGGACTAGAATAGCTGCTTACATACAGTTTTAATGACAGGAAAGGTTTTTTTTTCTTTTCTTACTGTGTGAAAGATGACCAGCATCCCATTTGCCTTTCTGATCACATCTGCCTGAAAACAAAACTATATTTAATCGTTTAAAAATATACAAAACTCCTACTCTGGTAAAATTCCTTTGGGAACAGAAGCGATCCCAACACTCAACCTAGTAACTTCAGTAACTGTCAAAAATACTGAGAAATATAAAAAGGCCTACTATAAGGAAAAGAAATATTAATATGAAAAGTCAGTAGTTATGTATTTCCAGAACACATCAGGCATTTTCTTTTTGTCTGATTTAGAAGTATGTGGACCTTCACAATATAAACATCTGGACAGAAGTTAATAGTTTTAATCCATTCTACAACTTTTAATTACTTTCCCTTGATGTTTTTGACAACCATGACTGGCAGAGCAATCAAAAGCAATCATTTTAAAAGTCTGCTTGCACTAACTGCCCAGAAAGCTCCCTTCTTCAGAGAGGAGAGGACAATAAACTTTCTTTAATGTCCTCTAGTAAACTGCCGTTTTCCAAAATTATCTGGGCTGTGATCCAAGAGTATCTTTCATTAGCTCAAATAACGTAAGTAATTATGAGCAGATTTGCCAGTTCTGAAATCCAACAACAGTGTGTAGTTCTGATGCCTATGTTCTTACTGTTGGGATGGCAGTTTTGTTCTCCCTCAGTCTTTGTTCCTATGCAGTAATTATTCCTCACTGACCTTTACAAGTCTGGTGTCTTCTCTTTCAAGTCACAAAACAGACACACATCTCATCTGTTAGTCACTTGCTTTCCTTGCCTACTATGCCCACCATATTTGTTTCTTCTTTATTTGCTATTGTTTCCTCCATTATATTTACTAATTTTTTTTAATGTTGCCTCATGTGGTTTTAAAAATAATTAATTAGTGAGTTGAATTGTTTTTTACCCACATACATAGTTTTGGGAAGCTCGGGGCTTTTATAGTTCTTATTTCTGTACTTTTTTAGGGATCAAGTTATTAATTGTGTTGTGGTAATCCAAAAATATCAGAGGAATTTTAGCATGACCATGTTGTGCTGCATTTCAAAATGGACATTCAGCATTTTCAGTGATATTTATACCAGTGGATCTTCAAAACATGTCATGATATCAGTTCAACAGAAATAGAATTTTCGGTATGGTCCAGAGAGAGAAAATGGAGATGAAAATCATTTTGCTAAAGTTTTATAGCATAACAATGCTACATGAAAATGAAGGTGAGCATAAGCTGATGAAAAAAGACTCCTGGGAGCATCACAGACACTACATTTCTGCCTACATGATGCTAAGTTCATTGGTTAAAAATAAGTCTGGCAGGAGATAAGTCATATGCAAACAGATTGTACAAAGATTACTTAAAATTAGTATTCAGAAATTCATGTGGCTAAAAGCAATCTAAAGAAATTGCTGAAGCAGGAACATGGGGCTCTGATGTGACATGCTGCCATTATTTAAATCTTATCTCTATCCTTTTGTGGTTGTAATGTATAATTTACCATTTGGATTCTGTGCTCTGTGCTGTAATCTTTAAATTTTGCAGGAAATTCCAAACTATTACCGGACTATTTTTTAGAATGTTGAACATACTGCAAATTAGGGATTTTGAAGCAAAAACAACACTACCATAAAGCATATCTGTCTTTTTGCCTTGCCCCATCATCCTCGTCTGCACTGGGGCAGATAGGGAAAACCATTAAATGTGTTATTTTTATAACACATTTGGTGGGCTTCACTGACTGGTTTTACACTGATTGTATTCATCAGCACAAGCACCAGCAGATGACACGAGGACTGACGCGCCTCACTTCTTCTGCTATCTGCTGTTTGTGCACTGGAGCTGTGTTTTCAACAATTTTCCTGTGCAACAGTTATTTTTTTCCACCATATCACTGTAGAAAATCTCCTGTCCTGGAAGTCAAAAGTTTTTTTCTGATCTTTAATATAAAATTAATATAATGTTAAAGTTGAAAAGTCAGGAGTCCAAATGTGAAAAAAGCAGCAGAAGACAGACAGTCAGTGTACTCTTAAATCTCCCCATTTAAATTCTAAGCCACATGATACTGTGTTTAATTATATGAACACACAACATTTTTTTTTTCCAAAGGACTCCTACCACAGCTACTATAAATCAGTGTGACTCCTTTGTTTTTAAAGGAGCTCTGTTGATTTATACCAGCTGGATTCTAAAGGCTTATCTGTATGTCATTGTCTTCCTTTGCATCTCACCTTCCTTATGTCTTAGAAAATAAGGTTGTTAACATAAGAAATGTCTTTATGTTTATTTTTGTGGGAGCGGGAGCATTGCTGACAATTTATTTGGCTAAGATAGTCCTCTTACTGGTATCAAAATACTGTATGAAGTATTTTGCCCAAAAGTCACTAATTGCACTTCACAAGATTCTTTTAGCCTAATCTAATATGTGGAATCTGAGTCAGGAGGCCAAGCTTCCACGTGGGGAGTAGCACTTTACTCAGGAAATGGTCTTATTGATTCAAGGTGAGTAAAGGTGGCAGAATGGGCTTCTAAGTAACTTAGATTTACTCAGTGTCACATAGCTAACCCCAGCATGGTGACAGAGCTGCAAGCAATCCTCAGGAGGTCTTGCTTAGCAACATTAGAAATACTGCCTCTATTATTATCATTGGGCAGAAGCCTACACAACTAACGTTTTTAAACAATTACTGTTTTAAATTATAGAATTAAAATGGGTTCATCTAGCGGGCTGTACAATTCTATGTGCCTATCTCAGAGAACTTCCTTGCTGGCTAACTCAGTCATAAGGCACAATGAAAGGCAGAAAAATAAAGAGAACTTACTGTGCTGGGCAAGGATTAGTATTGCATAGTTTTGTTTCAATTAAAGGCTTCATCCGTGGACCACAAAAAGAGGAATTAACTCGTGTACGATGATCTTCCAAACAAATTGCTTTTGCTGTAATGTGTCCTATGGAAGTATTAGAAAAAAAATGTAATAAAATAAATGTTTACTCAAAATTCAAAAGAAAAATAAGTAGGAAAGAGTTTTATCTGATCCAGTCCAGGGGCATCCTTGGTACAAATCCATTGACTTGAACTAAATAAAACAGGACTTCATTTGGCAACCAGTTTTTTATGCTAACTTCCTTAAACAGTCTGCTGGCATACTGTGAAGTCTTAACAACAAACTAACAAAATATTCCTGAATTTCACATTTTTTTTCAAATTCAGGAACATAACATGGCATTTACTTGGGTCATCCAGTCCAATTCTCTGATATTATGGGCAATTGCATCATAGAATCTTATTTACATGACCCACTTAAAATTTAAAGGCCACTCAAAATTTTAGTTCTCTTTTTGTTTTTTTTTCTGCAAAATTTCCTATGTGCCACTTTTCTGCTTTCATGAGATCCTAGAATTACTTCCATTGGTGGAACATCCAGAATTTAAGAAGAATAAATACACATTCTGGTTCTGAGGAAAGCAAATACCCAGAGAAGTATGGTAACAAGAAGTCTTAGGTTATGTAGAATTTCAGAGTTTAAGTTTGATGAACTCAAATATTTGTAATTAAACAGTGAGGAGATCAGTGTGCAACTGTCAGTAAGGTTCTTTATAGTATTTTAGTCCTCAGTTGCTCTCTACAGGTAGATAAAATTTACTCATTATTTGTTATCTTTCTGTATTCCCAGGACACAACTACATCAAAGCACATATTTAATTCCCATGTTACTTCAACAGCAAAATATGTGCGCAGATTGACCTGAAGAAAAAGAGACTGCCATGGTAAGTGACATGAATTGAGACCATCATGATTTTTTCTTTCTACCACAGAGGAACTAGGAAAGGTACTTCATCTGTGCTATAAGTTGTCAGATTAAAAAAAGGGACCAGGTGATCACGGTATGTATTGTTACACATGCTTACAAAATTAAAGGCAGCTGAAATGTTGGAGATGAATGTGTAAAGAAAAATGAAAATGAAGAGCATCAAATATTAAGAAGTTACCTACCCCCACCACAGGTAGCTGAGCACTCTGACTGCACTGTCACCCAGGAGTGGCTGTGCTTTTTGACAGATGTCTTGTTCTCGTTCATTTTGGAAAATGTGTATTCCCAAGCAATCCCAGGATTTTTGCCTTGTAGCAGGATCTACAGATGAGTTGGGAGTTGGAGTTTGGTTTTAAGAAAAACAAACAAACAAACAAAAACAATTGGCGGGGTGTTAAAAAAAAAAAAAAAAAAGAAAGAAAGAAAGAAAAAAAAGTGATTCTGTGATTTGGAAGGAAGATTAAATAAGCATGATATATACATAATGTATTTATACACACCATGAAATAATTTTCCAGAGACCCAGTTCTTTGTTATTCTGAAACTCATCACAGCAATTCCTAAACTGGTTCTTTGGACCAACACCTGCAGGACATACAAGGACAGTGCAGAAAGAGTCTGTCTGTCCTTTTAGTAAGTCACGTGTCCAAAGAGGAGGACATTTTTTTCATACCTCAAGATCACAGTGATGCCGAGCTCTTGCCTGAACTAACAACTGCTATGAAGTTGTTGTATTTAAGTGGCCAAAATAAGAGTAAAGCTTAAAATGTCTTGCAGATATCCTGAAGTGTTAGGCTGTAAATATTTGTCTTCGAAAACTGTTCCCCGCTTCCCCACAACAGATGTAAGAAACAAAGCAAATGCATCCTAAATAACATAAATCAGAACACAGAAGGGGGAGGATGAGAAGATATTAAAAGAAAAAAAATGTGGCAACCAGCTTTACTGCTGTGGAGCAATATTATCCTGGTGCTTCAAGACAACGAATGGGAAGAGAGCAAATGATCCTTGGCATGTTGGAACAAGAGATGTTAGTATCTATCATTCAGAGAACAACCTCACAGTAATGTCAGGAGCTTGCAGCCTCCAGCTGAGTGAGAGCCTCTGCGTAGCTCCTGTACATCATGCAGGCTGCTCTGTACACATTTAAAGTCATTGGGCTACACTCCCTTCTTCTGCATTGGGAAGTAGATACAGTTTTTACAGGGAGCTGAAAACTGTAACTTCCTCTCCTAGCCAGCAGCCAAAACTAGAGCCCCTTCCCACCCTTGAAACCACAAGAGGATATGTACACAAAGCAGGAACTGCATCACATTCAGGTTTCTTATATCCTGTATCATCCCAGCTACAGATTAAAAGGGCAAAAATCAAACTCTGGAAAAGTACTGGAGACAAAATATTGTGCAGCACAAAACCATATAATTTAAAGTCCCTGGCACTCAGTTGAAAAATGTTATACAATGCATAATGTTCAACCAAGTTTTCATCAGGAATGCAGTGCTATTGCAAGGTTACAATTTTGTCAAAGTAATGAGCATATAAAAAGTTTTCTATCGTATTTTCAAACATTCATTATAAAGCCTTCCTTTAACAACCCAATAACTGAAGTCTGCACATACAGCCAAGTTATCAGACCTACAAATTTGGAAAGACCTCCACTGCTAGTTCTACTTAACTGGATACATTCCAGCATCTTTTCAGCCAACTGGCATTTGCTCCCAAATTTACAGCTGGCAAAAAAACCTCCTTAAACATTTCCAGTTCCTCAATACTGTTTAATGTCTACCTTTAACACACCAACCACCTGACTTCAGACACAACACTCAGCAGCTCTGACCGCAGGGCGCAGAGTTATAAAATTTACAGCTTCTTGAGTTTGAAAACCACAGACTCTGTGGCTGGAATCTGCCAGATCTACTCTGAAGAAAAAGGACTGTGGCTTTTGCTTAGGGCATAAAATGTTAAAACAATGGATAAATTGAATCCTCTTGAGTAAAGAACCTTTTCCTTTTGCTGCTAATTTTGATTTCAAAGCTAAACCAATAAGTTTTCAAAACTAGCTGTGCATCTGCCTCATTCTTCGAGACTCCCTTTTTTTTTTCTTTCTTTTTTCTTTCTTTTTTTTTTTACTGTGGTTATCCTATGTCTCCTGTGCAGTACTCCATTTTGCAGGTCAAAATGCTAAAGAGGCTGTCAGTATGCCTTCTTATGATTGAGCCTTTGTGCTTTTAAGGTGATCTGAAGTTGCTTGCAGTACACTGAAATAATACAGATCAATTTACACAGGATAAACTCCTCTTTCTCCCATAATAATCTAACTAATGTACAGGAATATATGCAAGAGTCTAGCAGGTTAGCCAGATGTAAAAATGACCTAGTCTCTGCGAAGGAGAAATAGGCAACTACTACTTACAAAGTCAATTTTAAGCAAACAGCCAAGTAAAGGAATAATTACTGTTTACCTGGATGCGCTTCCTATATCTTCTGAAAGAAAATATATTTTCTTTTTTAACTCACTCTGCATGCGCATCATTTATGAAATGGGCACGAGCCCAGACTTTAAGCCCCCACATACATGGTAGCTTTGATTTGCATCTCCAAATTGCATCAACATTTCCTGGGTCCCTCCCATGTCATGTAAGTCTTTGATAATTTCTTGAGGCGCACGTTAGAGCTAAGCTGTTTCCACTGAGCTATAAGTTACACCAGTGAGGGCAAGCTAAGAAGCTTGTTGGTGCAGATCAGTGTCTGGCTATGTTATTTGGGTTTTCAGAAAGATGCTTGTGAGACTGCAACTTTTATCCACTCTGAGTCTACATGCCATTTAATAAATGTATTAACATCCAACATGATAACCCAGATTCTGATTTCTTTGATCAGTCAAGGTTAATCTCACTGGCATTCACAAATTCAGCTTGTTTTGAGTAGTGTAAATGTAAGCATGGAGTATATGATGCTTGTGGAAAGCTGTTACAAACAGTTAAAAAACAGGATCACTGGCTCAATGGGCAGTTACATGGGATCCCTGACCATGGCTAACACCAGGAGCTTCAAAGGAAAGTGAAAGAATACCTGTAGAGAAAATCATCACTAAAGGAAGAATTGCAGCTACGTTGGTTGCTTAAGCCAAACCTTAAAACAAAAGAGTTTTTATCTTTTCAATATTTCTAAAGTCACTTTAAACAAAATCTTAACTAAAAGCTTATGACAAACAGTTTTTTTTCAGGAAAATCCACTAAGGTCATTAAAAGGGAAAAAAAAATAATAGAGTATCCTTGAGAGGTCCTGCATGATCTCATTCCTACTTCAGCTGTTTCAAATTTATCTTATGTTGTTATTGTGTCTCCATTTTTTAAATTTTTTTTATTTTTTACTGTTCACATGCCAAACGTACAACCTTCAGGGACGCTGTCCAGCTAGTCTCTCTTCACTAAAGGAGAACTCTTTTATCTGTTGTATTGAATCAACATCTGTATCTTATAAGCACATCTTAGCTTTCTTTAACTTACTTTCTCTTTAGGGGAAATCAGTACAAATTTATCATCTAGTAGCTAATAATAAATGTAATGTTTTATAACTACAACTTGGCTTTCTCCCAGTGGCAGCTCTACCATCAGAAAAGTCTTTCCACCTGGCCTTCTTTCTCTTCTTTTTTTCCCCTATTGACAAAGAGGAAGTGATTTACTGATTTTAATTAGACACTTGCCTGCTTTCAAGATCCATTAGCCTTCCTGTGAATATTTACCTCTTTGTAAAGCATCCTTTCCATCTGTTACTTACCGCTGTCAAAATAAATCACATTTTTTTCACCACTATTTCACAATTCCTTGATCAGATATTTCACCAAGTCTGAGGTAAACATCAATGAAGGCACTGATTGTATTTCATCCTGAAAAATGTTACAGGGCTTTCTCAAATCAGATAGAAGTTAATTCCTCATTCATTTACTGATGGAATGGACAAATCAATCATCAAACTATTGTGTTTTTAAGTTAGCTTATACAATATTCTTGGGGTTGGCCTAGTAGTTCAATTTCTTTTGCACTGTCAGAGTCTTTCCCTTAATTCAAGTCAGTGGTGGAAGATGACTGAATATTTCAGCAAACCGAAGTCATCAGTGACTTCCCCTCATACGTTGAGACCTGTGTCAATGGAGCCCTCTGATGTCCCTGATGCTCTGTGAGCATCTTATGGAAAGTAATTTCAGCATTTAGAGGTGATGACTTTCAGCCCTCATTTCCTAATCTAGATGAATGAATGACAAATTTACTGTTCGTTCTTCCTCAGGTTAAGTATTTTTCAGTTAAGATAAAAATACTGTCAAGGTCTTTAAGTTGGCAGTGGTGACCTTACATGACTGACAAATAAATAAGCTGAATATATTCAACTACTTTTAAAAAAATCCAGTATGTTTCCATTTGAGATGAGACAATTATGCTACAGAAATCATATTTTCAAACCTGGTATTGATTTCTGATCCTGAATTATCATTTAACTATCATATTTCTACCATGTTGACCTTTGTTATTTCCTGTCTCATTTGAATTTGGACATTTTGGGAACTGCCTTCTCAACCCCTGAATATTTCTCATTTAGGCTATTATTGGTTTCTACAAAGCCACAATCACCAAAGTATCAATATTACAAACAGCCATTTCAGAAAGATTTACAAATTTTGAAGGGCACTGGTATACACTGCTTTGCTTTTGCTACATCTGTCAGCTTACTTCTTCAACAGTCCAGAAGGTGCTTTTGATAAATTCTTAAAATCTCATTTAAATCTGCATTTAGACTTCCAGAAGATGTACTCAGGAAATACTCGTCCTACAGTTTGAATTGTGCATTCTTCACACAATGTTCTCCTCCTCCTCAAAAAACATTTGGCCACTGAATTTTGTAATTTTCAGTCCCACAATCTAGCTGAAGTACACAATTGCTGTTCTTTGTCTTCTTTGGTCTGACTGGTTCCATAATTACACATACATAACATATGTAAATATATATATGTGTGCATTTGGGGTTGGTTTTTTTGTTTTGTTTTTTTTTTTAATTCCAGGATAGATAAAAAAAGTATTTTGTGATTTTCGTCTCTCATCCGTTACTGAATAGGACTGCAAAGTCTGATTAAATGACACGTGTCAGCTTAGCTATTGGAAAAACCTGATAGAAAAACACAGATGCACAGGAACATGCTGTACAATGAGACATAAATATGAAACATAGTATGACTGTAAGGCTGAACTATTACTTGTGGTATGCAAGACAATAGGGAATTTCAAGGTTTTTTTCTTATTTAGGTTTCATTCTTCCTTCTTAATACATGCTTCAGATGTCTCTTTCAAGAAAATATTTTGGAGAAAAACTGCATTTCAAAGGAAGTGATTGCCTTGAGCACAGATGTGCTAGACCTTTCTGGACCCATGTTTGCAGAGCACTGCTCCCATCCTCTCCTGTGAATGTTGCTCAGAGGACGTGTGTAACCTCAACCTTCTGGATGCAGCAGATTGATTTGCATCCAGAAATGCAGTTGAAACCCTGGGTTGCTTGGGTCACCACACAAATGTCTAGCAAAACTATGACTACACAACTAAGCACAAGCTCTGCTAATCTGTCTTTCTGATCATGGTAGAAAAGTACAAAAACTTGTATTTGGTGCTTGCTTGAAAAATTCCAGTATTTACTCATGCAGTTTATTCAGTTTCTCAGTCCCCGCAGTGTATGTTTTTACAAGGACCTCCACTGAATTATTCTGGAGAAAATCGAATCCAGAAAATAATTATTAAATTGGTGTTGAATATAACATAATTAAAAATAAAGAAAAAATATTTCAATTACAGGAAGAAATTGAAGTCCGGACCCTGGAAAGCTTCATCTTACTGAAAAGCAACTTAACTGGATAAAAAATTTGCTGGCAGGATTTATTTTGTACAATTCTTTGAAAGTTACAAATGAGATAAAAGCAAATCTACAACATAGCATGCTTAAATGTTCCATCATTCAGCCTTCCAATGGTTTCTAGTATTTATTGTTGAGTGGGACTTGTTTCACTACTATATTGCAAATAGATATTCAGCAATGTGTGTTTTCACACAGAAATGTGTTCTTTAGTTTTCACTGGCATTTTTTTGCTGCTTAGTTATTGATAAAGCATAAATAATGGAGATCTCTGAACAAACAAGATTTTGCATATTTTCCAGAATTCAGCTTGTTGCTTAAATTATTTAATGACATCTTTATTACAGCTAACAGATACATATAATTGGGGAATACATAACTTTAACATTTGCAGTTGTTAGAATCCCTAGTTACTAAAGTCAGTGGTGTAGGTATTTCAATAAAAATACAAGAAAAGTTTAAATAAGCTTTTGTAGGAGCAATAGCCTCGAGTTAAATGCTAAATCTTAATAAAACTGTTTAGCATAATATGATAGGATGAAAATAGAAGTGGTACTTGGCATTGTTTTTTCTTTAATCTTTATTCTGTGAAGTATTTGCATGACATGCAGCCAAGTAAGTCATCTAGAGGCAATTTATTATTCATACTTTAGTTCTGTTATAATGGTGTTCAATTTACTTTGTATTATGACAAACAAAATTCCTGAGAGTTCAGATTAGCATTTAATAACATTCATAAGTACGCTTATTTCTTTGTTATATGGCTATTTTGGAAATGATTTATGGACATGGAAGCATGTCTGTAACTTGTAGGCCAAAACTCTTCTTTGGACTAAAATGTTCTTGCTAACCTATACTTTAAAAAGGGATTCAAAGTGTGATAATTTGCTAAAATACACACCTTTTTCCTATGTCAAACTGTCCATCCTAAGGTACTTTAACACATGTTCAAGGTCTGTGAGCTTCAATGGTGCTTAAATAGATGCTTAAGTACATTACTCAGTATGAATAATGGTAAGGCTCCTCAGTATTTAAAATAAAACTTGACTGAATAGCTCTGAAAGTTTAAATAATCCTTGAAGAATGTATTTCATATCACAGTCTATATTTGTTGTGTTTCTAAGTTTAAAGGAACAAAGCTGTGTAATGGAAACAGGATGCAGATTTCTTGGTTAACCGCTCCTGCTAAACTTGTGCAGAGAGCAGTGTTCAGTTACGGTGTTACGTGATAGGATGAAGAACCACCAACCACTGCCTCAGAGTGGGTACAGCCCTCATGCTCCCCACATACTCTCTAGAGAAAGGGGTGTTTGCTAGTGAGCTGGAGAGGGTATTGCTGGAAGATGTGGGAAGGAATTGAATCTCTCCTGGGGAGTGCTTCTTCCTTCTCCCATGACAGGATTAATCAAAACACACATAACAGACAAGTTAAAATGCAGGGATTTGCTAGAGCCTTCCAACAAAGCAGGACAACTAATGTGGTGAACGATCCACTTAGGTGATTCAGTCAGATATTGACCCTCAGATGTTCTGATACATTTAAACAGAAAATCTAGTAAGGCGACCCAATGCAGAGATGTTTCCCACAACAGAAGTACTTGTGGCTCATTTTCAGTGCATCGGTGTATCAAACCATCTATGTACCAAATTTACTTTCTCCTCAACGTAGTCTCAACACAGGACATCTGGCAGACAGAGTAAGTAGTACAAAGTCGAGTGGGAGATAAACATATACAAAAGTTTTTATTCTAGATGCTATCGCCAATAAAACCGAATTAACAGAAACTACCCAGGAGCCTAATGTGTGGTGCTTAGACCATCTGTGTCCCAAGGTAGACGTAAAAAGGACTACACGTGCCTGCATTTTCCAAGGTACTATTTGAAAGTGTTACTTTTAAGCCCTATAGCATAACTGAGATTTGTTTTTTTGCATCACTAAGTTTTATAGCACACCACTTGTGGGATGTGCTTATAATCACTACTACCATTGTGCAGCAAAGGAGAAATAATGCTACACGCTATGTTCTATGCACCTTTCTTTTCACTGAATTTGTGACAGTTTTGTAAACTTCAAACCTTGATGAACTGCTGAAAGGCCTTTCAATCTAGCATGACTACACAATTAAGTCTGAATACTATCATGACTCAACGCTATTCTTTAATCTTTCTGAGAGCTATGGCACAGAGCTAAAGCTGTCGTTACTGATTCTGTAATAGACATCAAGGGAAGAATAAATAGAAAAAAGCTTACTTCAAAGACCAGCGTCTCATTAGTTGGTCCAGCTGCATATAGACTCTCTGGATGGTTAAATGAGCGCTGATAATCAAAAACTGTTCCAGCAAAAGGAAACTTTCCTGGCCAGTCAATTGTCCAGTCTCCTGTTAAATAATACTTTTTACTGAGGTTGCGCACTGCGAGGTAGCTGGTGGAGATCTGCATTTCATGGAGGTGAATGCTGCGTGCTCCTGCTGGGACAGTGACCACAGCATAGTAGTCTGAAATAAAAGAAGTAAAGCAACATTTTTGCAATTGTTGTACAGACAGAGAAGGCTTCTCCTTCTTGAGCCAATTTGAAAGATACTGAAGGCAGCTGTTCTGATCTACCAAAGTTACTCCGTTTCCATAAGAAGAAAGCAGTTCTGATTTTAACCCCCCTATGCAGTCTGTAATCAGAGTGACTCTGAGGTATTTCAATTCCTAGAATTTTTGTGTCACTCAAGACAAGAAGCAGCAAGTTCACCTTAGAAAAATGTAGAACAGAATAATGATGGTTTCACTGTAAATGTTTTACTATGTTTTCCCTGTATTTCTCTGCAGTAGGGAAGGTCCTACTTCAGTCATCAACAATCTTGTTGAGGTCAGATGCACCGTGATAGAGCCCCCACAGTGCCCCATATAACACTGGATCACTACTTCATTCTACAATCAGTTCATACACTGCTGACAGCCTCCAGCACTCACATTGCACACAGCTCATTTTACAAAGCATAGTTAGATTATTCTAGTATTATATTTCTATATAACAATATCCTAAATAATTTCCTGCTACATCTCACTGTAGTGAGATGTAAGATGTCACACATCTTATATCTTCAATTAATGGATCTGCGAATTATCCATGGGGGTAAAGAGATTGTGCTTCAGTGAGAGGACTTTATAGCAAACCTGTGATAGACCACTAAAGAAAAGTCTTCATCCTAGTGACTGGCTCATCCTCTATATCAACTGGATTGCTTTCAATCAATTTAATTTGAAAATGGGCATGGAAATACTCTCCTGTTTGGCATTATGCTGTGTTTCACTTCTTATGGTACACATAATGGGAAATTCCATTGTCCCATTCCAATCAGAACTATTGACACACTTGCACAAATCCTAAAATCTTTTTAAAAAGGAAATTCATACATAAAAGGAAAGTGTTTTAAGAAACAAGAGGAATGCCTGCAGATTAACTAACCAAGACTTATGTTCATAGCTTTCTTGTTACCAAGAAACAGGAGAAATGTGAACTCTTCTCTCACTCTCCCTGTGATTTTCAGTTCACATCTGGACTTTTAACCACTGCCCTAATGAGCAAGGAATCATATATATTACATGGGGATACAGCAGAGCAATGAGTTGATGATCATGTGAAACAGCTTTGCTTACCATTAGCTTTGTGCTGGATCAAGTATTGGCCTTTAAAGAACTTGCATGTTGAATTATCTCCTTTACAAACTCCACAAGCATCCAGTACAGCTTTGGAACCAAGTCCATGATCACACCCTACTTGCTGCAACCAAAAGGCAGAAGTGAAGGACTCAAACACAAGAGATTTGAAGAAACAGCTGCATTTTCTACAAAGGAATCAATTTCCCACTTATTATTATTAAAAAAAAAAAAAAAAAAAAAGGAAAAAAGGAACAGTAAGAGACATTAGGATTGTAAGGAACTTAATTTTATCTTACTTCACAAATTCCATCAATGCAAACGTCGTAATTATTCGGAGAACACAAGGTTCCATCCTTCACTTTGCTGGACATTGCAAAGAAGAAGTCAAAGTCTTCAGCTGTGCAGTACAATTTACACCTATCTTCCTCTGAAGGGAAAAAAAAACAAAAACAAAGAAGTATTACTAGACCTGGGGCATGGCTTAAAAATAAACAAAAAAAGCAACACTAAGCATCCAGCTGCTTCTTCCTGCATCCTAGGTGACAATTAGCAGCTACAAGAATTAATTGTGTCCTGACATGTTAGGATCCCAAGATAGGTGGAATTACAGCCAAATATCCTTTAAAACAATGTGTGGGTTTAATGGTCCACATACTCAGAGAATTAAGAGTTGAACAGCAGTGTAAAAGCAGGCACATTCTGTGAGCTTTGCTGATGTGGCCATGATTTCAGCTCTACTTGTACCCAGTTTCAAATTTCATTTTTTATTAAGAGAAATTGGAAATTGTAATATTTGTTCTTAAAGTTTATTAAAATTTTAAAAAGATAAGATTGCACAAGTGCTCAGCTGGAAGCTAGTACTGGGAACAGGTTTCCCCTAAGCAAGGCACATTTCCTCTAAAAAGTCCAAGCAACTGTCAATCAAATTTCTTCTTATTCACATATAGTGCTTATAAGGGACTGATAAATTATATGCTGGCCAATACAGTGATGCAATTGTATGTGTTGACACAAAGTATCATTTTAATACCAATAGAGCAATATAGAATGTTCAGGAACATGAAATTAAATTTGAAATAGTATTCTTTTTCTTTCAGTTGGGTTTTCAATTGTAATTAGGACTCCACTTTCTACAGAGGCAAAGCATCTGTAGCAGTTTTGAGAAACAGACCATGTTATCAAGAGTACAGTGGAGAATACTGATGCAAAGTATTTACAGAATAAAGATGCGTAAATTAAAAATATTATTTAATTCCACAAAAGACAAGAGACAGCTATTGATACCTAAATTTTATAAAGATCTCTCAGTGAAAGATGACTTCAAAAGATGTACGTCAGTACATTGTTTATCTTTCTGATTCTTACGGGACTGTAGCAGTAGAAAAGTGAGTTTTGTTTATGATTAGATTTTGAAATCTGAGACCATTCCGTAGAAAAGAAGATTCTGGTAGTTTTACTGTGTGAGCTCACATTTCCCATGCACAAAAATTAATGGCATTTTTGTTGTTGTCTATTATTTTGGCTTTATACTAAAATATATCTAATATAATATTAAAGAAAGGAACAGCAATGGTGAGGGAGTCATGATAAGGACAAAGATTTAAATTCTCAACCGAAATGAACTCTGCGTGTTCGTACAGATGGTATCACATAAGAGGACGGATTCTGCTGTGCTGGAAAGCAAACATACCTCAAATAAGCCAACTGAATTTCTGTTTGCTTACATCAGGGTGATATTTGCCTAACGAATATGGATGAATTACAGCTGATAGCTTGCTTCCTGCAATTGCCTTTGTCCATCGAAGCTGTGGCATAATTACCTTCCACTTTAGTATATGGTTTCCATTTGTAGTACCATCCCCGGAAAGGTTTGCTGTTGTATTCTGCACACTGCTGGGCACGGAAGTCCAAACTATTTGCTGGACATGGCTGATTATTGCAAAGTTCATAAATACGACTGGAACCTTGGCAGAATTTGCCACCATACTGTGGCCTTAAAAAGAAAGAAAAGAAAAAAAAAATCATTGGCAACACCTACTTTTTATGTGATTGGCATGTTACACACACATTAACAGAGAAAATAAGAGTTGTCTTGGGGAATCGGTATTTCTTACGCAAACCATTAATTTTCATAGTTGCTAAAACCCAGCAAAGCAGTTGCCATGAATTATCTTCATGGATCACTGCAATCTCAGCAAAGATGCAAACATCTAGAGGTGAACAGTGTTTTCGCTAATTAAAATTTACAGGGCTATTTGTGTTGGCTGATTTCACTCTTTTTATATGGCTATCCTTACTCTGCTGTAATGCAAATGAACATGTGCAAAAATTGCCTATCACACTAGGAGTTAATAAAGAATAACACAAAACCGATCAGTGAGAACAAAATAATCACATTTCGTTGTTTTTATTTTCTGGTAAATCGTTTTTTAAAAGCTTGGTTTAAAACAGTGAAAGGTAGTAGGAAAGTATGCATAGTTGCCTCCTGTAAGAGACCACTGATATCTGTGGGTAACTTCAAATGTATCATATCTGCTTCAACAAACCATAATTTCCCTTACTCTGGAGAGGATGAAAAGAATGCATTCTGTTAGTTTGCTCATATCTTAAGCTATCAGAATAATATGTACGTGTGTGTGTTTGTTACTACTTGATCTATGCACACAGCTGTAAGCCAATGTAAAAATGTAAGAACTGCATTTTTTAAAGTGACTGAAGGGTCTCATAAACTGCTGAGAAATATACTCACTCACTTTTTTATTCCCTCTGGATCTCCTAAGAATCCACTGATGTTATTTTTGCAGTTCCATTGCTCTCAGATATATATCTGCAAGCATTGAACCAAGTCTTCAAAACCCCAAACTCTTAAGAACTTTGTGATACTATATTATTTCTTGCATCAAATAAAATAAAAAAAAAAAAGCAACAATTCTTCACACATCTATACTATGATATTTAAAAATTAGGAAAACTTGGAAAATAAGCTATGATCTTTCAGTGGTTGCCATGAGCATATTAGACACACACACACATTAGGGAAAAATGAGCATAAAACATATGAGATAGTAAAAGTACTTAGACAAATTATTAGTTATTTAATAATTAGTGGTAGTTAAGATAATTTTAAATATAAATACTACCAAATACATATTTAAATGTAAAATATTACATAGAGATGATAGCTAAATGTATAGTTAATATAAAAGGTATGGGTGCAGCAAGTATGATCAGCATTGCTTGTTTAAAGCCTTAAAAAGCATACTGTAAACTGTAAGCTGTACCAAGTATCTCAAGCAACTTCTGACTATGGAGTAATACGGACACAGCTTGGTGCAACAAGAATGAGAAAATGCCCATACATTTTATTTTTACACCATTTGCTTACTATAAATTTTAATTCTCATACATCTAACCCATTAACCATGCTGGGGCTTGCTTCTCGTGTTTTGAGTCGCCTTGGAATGTGCACAATATCCGAATTTTCTCGAAGAGAGAAACACTTTTCTACTCCATTTAAAACTGAGTTGAAGCACCAGAGAAACATACTGTGGAAGAAACACTTTAGCTGACCTTTTCTTGTGCTCATCTACTAACTATGCCGATACTAGACAGTACAGCAGTAAAGGTCTTAGAGTCAGATTTTCTGTCTTAGGTGGTGGCAATTCATTCCTTGAAGGGCAGGAAGGATGTGAAACATCCATGAAGTCCAGGAGTGTTTGTGTTGACTTTGCAACTGGGGGAGCTTGCAGTTAAGTCAGCCAAGTGTTGGGTTCTTACTCAAGTCTCTACAGATTTTCTTTTCAGCTTCAGCACATGTATGATTTTTTTGACCTCTTCTACCCCAGAGAACAAATCTGCTTTAGTGTACAGAAAAGAAGCAACCTTATTCCAAGTAAATGCCACCAAATAAATGATATAATAGAATTATTTATGGCTAGATCATGATCTCTAGCCACAGGCTTGTATTTGAAGATGGTATAAAATTCCACCAAACTAGGGAAACACTTAAACAGGCATTCTGTTCTCCAACCCTGTCACAGCAGTATTTTGATCTTACAGTACACTCTCATTACTGAAACTGCTGGCCAGAAAATCCATAGAAGCATTTCCAACTTCCTTTCTTACATCATGATGTCAGGAAGTGTTAAGTAACTCACAGGAATCTAAAGGGCTATAAAAGCAAATTTCAGGGAAAAGGCTATTATCTACACTGATAAAATCATGCTTCTGTTAGTTGGTTTATACCAACAGGTTTTAGCTTTGAGGCTAACAGTAGCTCTGTGAGTATTACCATGCTCATTGGTATTCCACTATAGCAGTATAGTGCCCTGAGTGCAGATCAAGCCTAAACTTTCATGTGTGTACCTTCCCAGCTTTGGCATAGGCTGGTAAAGATGCTTGCATGAATAAATGCTGATAGAACTGAGGCCTTACTGATGATAACTGGAGAAGTAAGTAACTAAGCAAGAAAGGATTGCAAAAGATCTGTGTCCAAAGAATGAATTGTAAAAGCAGCATGAGTACAAAGCTGCCAAACTCCACTTCATACAAGAGTCAAATATTAAAATGCTACAAGTGGAACTTAAATAAATCGTACAGTTTCTACCCTTTTCAGAATACACTTAATGAACAATGAAGGAAAATAAAATTGCTATTCACTGGAATGCAACATGGAGTATAAAATCATGGAAGTAATCTGATGAGGGGAAACATTTAATACATTAAACTGAATAGGGAATTAAACTGAAATTTCTGGACTACTTTTTTTCCCATGGTTTGTAATTAATTTAATTCAACTTCCTACTCATGTAATGGCCATGTTATGACAGTGTCACAAAGATGGACAATAGTTCTCTGCACATATTCAAAAGGTCTAAAATGTCTTTCACAATCAGAGATATGATTTAGGTATTCATTTAAATCTCTCACTCTTTAGGTTCTTTCTCAGCAAACTATTAACTGATTTAATATATTTGTATCTTGGAAAAGTACCTTGATTGTAAAATGTGATGTGTGAAAACCAGATCCACGAATTTACACTGGGACAATTTAGAGAAACATAGTGATTTTAGCAAATCTTGCTGGCCATGTTCTACAGATGACCTCCATACGTGTTTGTTATTACAAATTCACACAGAACTGAGGTGATAATTCAGAAGCCATAGCCAGAGCTGCTTGGGTATAGACAAAACATCCATCTTGTAATTATCGAACAAAAGGAAATTGAATTGGTTGGATATCATTTTCAAGAGGTGAATTTCACATACAAGCACAGATAATGAGATTTTCATAAGCAGCAGCCTGGAGCTACATTCCTCACCTGTCTTTAAGCTTTTAAGTAAGGTGTGTCACCACTGAAATCATCAGAAACCTAGAAGTTTCCCTCAGTGTTCCTAAGTCAGTTGTTCAGAAAAAATGGAGTACTAATCTTAAAAAAAACATGTTAGAGTCCAGTCAGTTCTTCAGAGATCCACAGCCCCTGTCATAATCTCTTATACAAACACATATTATTTATTGGCATTCTCAGAATTTTGCTATCCAAAATCATCTGTCAGGCATTTGAACAAAACAAACATTAGCTCCTACACAAACCTGGATTAAGAAGACTGAAATAAATATCTTACGTATGAAATAATATATATATTGAAATGTATAAACATCTGAAATGTATTTCAGAAGTTCAGAAAGAAAGGAATCATTATTCTTTGTTTATCTGTAGATTTAGAAGTGAACAATGAACAGTCAGTAGGCTATAAATCTTTCCATATGGTTTAACATTGAAAATGGGTAGGATCATTTTTCTAATGATTCTACTTACATACGAAAGTTCTGTGATGTGAAATACAGTCACCTGAATATTCATTCACTGTTATACAGTGTTGTGTAGATGGCTTTTATACAGTCCTTTAATCACTCTTACTCTGAGAGAGATTTGCAGTTTATTCTCTTTGCTCTGGATAAACTGGAGTTACTGGATAAACACTACTGTAATAAAATTAGATTTTGTAGAGATACAGTCCAGTTCTGACATTTGGTTTTACATCAGGTTTTACAGAAGTTAGAATAGATCACTCTGAATGCAAGTTTTAAATTCAAAGTGCTACAACAAGGCACATTTCAAAAAGAAGACCTTTGCATTAACATCATTTGAAATCATTACTAATTATTACAATGAGCCAATCTGAAACATTGCAACTAATGTACTTTTTTCTGCCACAGGGGGAGAGCGACATCCATACATGCAAATGTAGCAGGAAAAACAGGCTCTAAGGTAAGAAAAAGATTTTGATATATGTATGACAAAATTAAGGCTTTATTCTCTTGCTAAATACTTTTAAAAATGAAAATATCCAACTAGTTTTATGTAAGAAAAACCACAGAGAAATGACAGAAAAGGTTGAGAATGCTCTGCTATGAATCTGCAAAGATTGACTGACTGAGGGTAGTAAAGACTATTTTAACTAATTTACATTTTTGCATTTTCCCTTAACATAATATATGAAGCTTGGATATTACTACTGTAGCACTCTATAATAGGTATGAGGGTTCCTTACAGCCTCATATAAACTTCTCATGTTTTCTTTTTTTCTATTATTATTATTACTGTAGTTTAAATGCTGTTTTTATTGTGTGCAATGACAAATTCATATGTATTTGCCTGTTAAAGTTTTGTATGAAATAGTGAAATCTTTTTTTTTTTTTTTTTTTAGTAAGTTGCAATAATTTGAGTACTTGGAAAAGATTTTGATCTGATAACATTTTATTTCTACCATGAAATAGTAGTGTGTGGAATAGTAGTATTTACAGCAGTAAGACATTCACTAGAGGAACAAACCAGAAATGTTTTATGAGGTACCATACAATTCTATGGCTCAGCAACTTTATGACCTGTGAAACGTGGAAGAATACAAAGAACATGGCAGACATACAAAGTCATCTGTCTACAACCATTTTGATACTGACTTTAAACAACTTTGGTTTATTATACAAGATAGTATGATCCCATCAGGAGTCTTTTAATAGCTTATAAGAATTATTTCACTTACTCTTAAATTATTAGGTGTGAATGTGTCTGTGTGGCATTTCTCTACTGCAGCAGGTGTTTGATAAACTGCAGTGTCACACAATAAATTCAAAAAGTTGGGCTGTATAGATGTTTCTGTGTTCCAGAAGTCTTCAGTCAGCCACTGCTTTCTACTAGCAGAACATACGCCTGTCCTTCAGCTACTGACTGGTCTTACTGGACATGGAAAAAGAGCCTGAGAAGCATTTCACACATATTTCTCTCAAGAAATTGACTATATTCTTTTTGTTTTCTTTTGTTTTAATAACATAAATAGTATAAAAACAATACCTTTTCATATCTATGTCTTACTTTGGATTGTTGCAGTGTCTTTCTTGATATGTGACCCCACTTCCACAAGTCCGAGTACACTGTGACCACTCAGACCAGGCAGACCAGTGGCCATTTACAGGCTTGGGTCCATGATCACCATATTTGACACACTGTCCTCTTCGACACCACTGCCAAAAGAATGCCAAAAAATATCCCATCAGAGTTAGTGGTACCTAGTAGGTGCAAAACAGAAAAAAAAAAAAAAAAAAATAGGACATTTAAAAGCTCAAGTGCTTTAGCCTAATAATCCAAATGTTTCCAATTGAGATAGTTCTCAGTTTGACAAGAACTCTGAAGTAGAACATTGTCCAAGCTCTGAGTTTAAGATCTTTAAAGTACAAGTCTTCAAAACTGTTCTTTTGCAGAATATATTTTTTTGGCTAATGTTCTCCAAAAAATCCATGTTAACTGATGGTCCTGGGCTGTCAGAACCCCAAAATTTCCCACGTTATTTAAAAATTCTGCTAAAATGCTTCCCCTTTTGTCATTCACTTACCATATTTATACCACAAGCTGTTCCTTCTGCTGCTGGCATGAATTTTGTTTCACATCTGTGACCCACTTTATGGCACCAGAGAGATTTGCAAATATCCTGAAGAGAAGAAGAAAAAATACTAATCCTTCATCACAAAGTTGGGTCAGTTTCCCTTTTTTCTTGTATAACTTTATAAATCCTTACCAGACTTCCAAGTTAATGCATAGTAGTAAAACAAGAAACTTCCTCCTTTTGCCACCTCCCACATCCCATGAAAGTTTTCATCAAAGCTGTATTGCCTGTTCATTTCCTTAAGCATAAGGAAATAAGCATAAAGGCAAGGTCTTGGGTCTTATGTATTCAACTGCACTTCTTACGACTCCTGAAAAGAACAAATTTCCCTTTGAAACTCCTCTGGAATTATGATATCTCTTAAAGGGGGCAAAAAGCCTTCAAAGCAAATTGCCAAGCAAGGTGTGGTAGATAAACAGTCCTGGCATCTGGAAACCTCAGTGTTATTTTTACATATTTACAGCGTTACAATAATATCAATAGGTACCTTTACAAAGCTGAGGTTGCACACTTTTGCTCTTATTCCAAATTGCCATTTGCACTGGGTGTCAGCATCATACATCTGCCCTGGCAGTTTGTCAGGGTATTTATACTGTCCAGTTTGCTTAGGTTCATCAATCAGGCAGGCAGCTTGAGCTGTACTATAATGAGAATGTAGTAATAATGACTGTGATCTTCGTATCAAAACAATTTGTTACAGAACAGTAAAAACGCATAGCATGGTATACAGTACTTTTAACTAGTTTTATAGTCATGTACTGAAATAAGAATATCTTACTAGATATAGATAAGAATATCTACTGAAATAAGAATATTGCAGGAGCCAAAAGATCTTGACACATCTTGTTGATAGCCTGACCTGCAAACTTTTATGGAGGCAAGAATTTCCAGGCTTTGGCTGTTGTGACAAGAAAGAATTATGTCACTTTCTTCAGTTCTCTTTATTTGCATATAACCAAGAACAAGTTAATCTATTCTGCTTTTTTCCTGAAGTGGGTTCCCAAATCAGGAAACAATGGAGACAACACAGATACCAGCTCATTTCAGTGTTCACATAGTGTGGATTGACAAACAGGAGCCTGCTGCAGCTTGTGTGCTTTAGGCCGGCTGCATCCAGCTAAATGCCAAAGCTGTGCTATGGTCTGCTTTTTTTCCTTTATCTGTGTTTGAGAAACCATATATTTGGAAGATCACTTTGGATATATCTTCCAAGTGTAAGTCTCTTGGGCCATACTGCACACTGGAGGGCTTACATGATTTTTTAATTCTAAATTTGGGTAATCTGAATATGCTGCATCACTGAGGAAGGCAAAATCACCAGAGCTCTTTCTTTTTTCCCTTTTCCCTTACTGCTTTAAGATACTAAATTGGAATTCAAGCATTGGATCCACAGAACATAGGTGCTTGATTCTTGCTTACTTTAAATCCTAGATCTACAGGGATCCTCACAGATCCTTACTGGATCTCTATCTGATACCTGTTACACACTTTTGCATAATGAAGTATAGCCTCCCTATGTACGACAAACTCAATAAAGGGAAAGTTCTACGAGAAAAGAGTGCAGTTACGATGACATCAAATGTAAACTAAAATACAGCTTGTTTAAAAGCATCACTGAATAATGCTAACACTCCAGAGAAATAGATAGATCTTCAGATCTTCTTTTTTTTTTCTCTCCAGGAGAAGTGTATGAAAAACTTAAAATTAAAACTTAAAAACTCGTGACATGAGCTAGATCAAGAGAGAAACTTTAGGGAGAAAGTCCACTAATGTTAATTTACATTTTGTAATGACTTTGGTAGCACTGACTGCTCTCTTTTCTGTTTACTTCCTGCTAATTCTCTAACAAACCTAGTTGCTGACAGGAATGCCTGAGAAGGAATGATATGCCAGTCATTAATGTAGGATATTCATAAAAGATGAAAGCCATTCTTTTGAAATGAGGCAGGACAAAGGCACTTAAATACCATACCACCTGTATGCCTCAAAAGTCCAAGTGTGAGAGCTCAAATAGTGCACTGGTTTGAGTACATTTTAAAAGAGGTACATTTCACACTTAAGTAATTTTTATGTCTGTTCAAAAGTTCAAGCCCAGTTAGTAAGATACATTCCCTGGCTCTGGCCCAGATTTACATCTGACCTACCTGAGAAATTTGTTGAGATACTGCCTGCTGCATACAGACCAAGAAAACACTCCATTGTTTCCTGTGAGTGTGGGAGACATAATATTTCCCTCAGCTTTTCTACAAGGATTTCCTTCTCCATCATGAATCATACCAAAGCTGAAAAAGAGCCATACATAAGAGTGAAAATGTTGATTAATCAGAAGACAGAAACAATTTGAGGCAGGAGAAACACATTACAGGCAACACTTCTATGACTGAAATCCACAGAGTTGAAAACAAGCACAAAACACCACAAAAATGACAGTTGTTATGAAACGAGCTCCATTTAGTAGCATTCAGATTTTACTGCCTTCAGTCTAATTAGAAAAAGATAGTAATTTTTCAAGAAAGACCCATATTGGTGATGAATAGGAGCTCTGTAGTGTGAGCCCATGACAAGACAGTGGCATCTAATTACCAGCTGCAGACTGTATGAGAAGTTTTACATTTAACCATTTCTTATTTTTTCATGAAATCCTGCCTGTTTGTTTTTTCATGAATTGCAAATGAAAGTTATTATCATCTGTTTTATGCTACATCTAAAATGAGCAGATGCATTCAGTCATGAAAGCCTTTCCCTGTGCTTCCAAAAACAACTATTGCACTTGGCCACCTTGTTGGACGTTCCATAAGAAGCCAACAACTTACAGTATTTGGAGTCAACTGCCTCTTGCTACAAATGATATTGCTCTTTGAAGGAACACTTAGAGGCAATAAAGAGAAGAATCTACTATATCACCTTCTTCAATAAGCAGATTAACAGATGATGAATTCCATGCAATATCATGGTGAAACAGAGATACTAAGAAGTTCAAGTCAAAACTATTGTTCTTTGTCCTTGCAGTCCTAGTCAAATGAAGCAAATGAATGTCAAAATCAGGTTTATACTCTAGATGCTCTATGTTCACATCTCTAAAATACTGAGTACTTTATAAGGAAGGAAAAAAAGTCAGTCAACCAAACAAAAAAACTGCAGCTGATGAGTTGTGCAGACAACTGTTGTACAGAAATTACCCCAGAGTCACTATTATTACTAGTTAAGGACAGCATGTAGGGCCAGTTGAGGAAAACATGCATAGTATATAAAGAAGCATTTAGTAGCATTAATAATAAGTAAGCAATAATAAAAGCCACATTGAAAATGATAAATGATGTGGAGCTTTTGATCATAATAAATTTAATTTTCATAATAAATTTAATATAATAGGTTTTGTTTCACTATGTTGTATTTACTCATTATACAGGGTATTTGTGAATTTCAGTATGTTCTGAATAGAAATTTCATAGTCTGTTACTTCAACATTGTAATACATTGGCAACTTTATAAATGCAGTGTGTGCATGTGAAGAGAATATCCAGTTTACTGGGCTCTGTCCTCTATCATAAATCACTGCAGGCTCATCATTTACTGAATGTGTTGCCATCAACTGTGGCTCCAAGCATGCTAAAATATACGGCTCGTTCCACAAATGGACAAAAAAAAGTCCCAACTGAGCTAATATTTTATAATCTTTTATAAGATACAATCTTTGTTCACATGCATTGCAGCCAAAGAATCCAGTTTTAATATCCACCGACATAATGGGCTCTCAACTCCCAAAGAAAATGTTAAAACTTTCAGGTAAAGACATAAAGTACTTAAATGGAACCATAAAAAGACTGTAACAAAGAGGTGTGTAACTTTCAAAGACACACGATGAGTGAAATGAGAAAACTCCAAGAAATGTCCTTTATGCATCATCTTGTCAAAGAAATACTTTTTACCATAGTATGAACTTTCATTATTTGCCACAGAACATCACTTGTTCTCCAACACAAACACAGTATAAGAGCACTTCTTAACCTGTTATATAAACACTGATCAGTAGACAGAGATCCTGAATGTTCAGAATTGCACTGAAGTACCTCACACCTTTAGATGATAAAACAGAGCACTCTTCCCAAAGCTGCATTCTGCGTATTTGTGATTGCTAGGATTTCCTGGCAATAGTTTTGAGGACGTTTTTCTTCCACAAATCTCTGTATCACAGAGACCAAGTTCTGTCATTTTACACGTCACACTGGGTAGTCTCAGGAACACAAACATGAACATAGGATAATAAAGCTGGTTTGTATCTGGGGTAGATGTTTTCCAGAATGTAAGATGCATATCATTAGACAAGAGTATAAAAGTATGCCAAAGGCTGTGTAATGTAAGAATCAAAAGCAGTGGTGGAAAAGAAAAAAAAAATATCAACACTGAAGAAAAGATATTCCAAGTGTAATCTCTCAAAGTCAGTAAGAAGAAAACAAATAAGAAGGAAGATTAGTCTACCAAAGGGGGTAATTCTTGAAAAATGAGCTGTGGGCATAATTCTCTTCCTAATTCTGATGGAAGCGCATTAAAAATCTACTGAGGTCAGTGAAATTGCATTAGTGTGGCAGGAGGATCAAGCCCTATGCATTTTACATATTTGGTCCTACTGAATGCATTGGCTCTGTTCCCATGGACTTCACTTGTAGCTGGATTATTCTTTAATTCCTTGTTTCCCTTCAGATGTACAGAAACTTGTGAAAGGGTCACTCATGTAGACGTTAGGTCATAGTATATACTGTAGAGCATATTTGTACAATGAAAACTAAATAGTCCTGATTCAGCCATGCAGAAGGATTCATGCCTTGAGCAAACAACAGAATACAGTAGCACTGCTTTTGAAAGATACACAGTAAAGTGACCGTATGTCCACACTTTCTCTAAGCCTTGATTTCAGGTTTGTTCCATAGAGAGTAGTGATGCTACTGTGCTGCCAGTGGTTAGCCAGAATTCACAGAATCACAAAATCCTCGGGATTGGAAGGGACCTCTGGAGATCATTTAGTCCAAATCTCCTGCTAGAGCAAATTCCCTAGAGTAGGTTTCACGGGAAAGCATCCATTCACATACAAATTAAGCTATAGAAGGAGCAGGTGAGACTCATGAAAGGTAACTTACTTGTGTCCAGATTCATGAGCAATTGTAAAAGCCAGTCCAAGGCCTGTATCTTCATTAATGGTACAGCTACGGTATTTGCTGCACATACCACTGATAGGTGCAAATCCTGAAGGAAGGAGACAGTAGAAAAGGTTGTTCCTCTACAGAATGCTAAATACATATATCATCTGCACTGATCTTAATAACCATTCTATCATGGTGCGTAAAGATGCAATATGATTTTCTTCTTCACCAGATTTATTATGGAAAAATTAAAGCAGACTTTTATTTGACAATAAAGGAGATCCTGTATCAGAAGTTAATGCAACACAAACCTAACCGTCCTAATTGCACTTTATTGGTAAAGATTATTCTTTGCCCCCGTGTGTCTTTACTGTTCCCAAATAAGGGAGGAATCTCATTCAAAAAGGGTAAGTATTCATAATATAAAATATAAAATGTAAAATATATAAAATAAAAGAAGGTCAAAACAAATCTAATCAGAATGGCTCGTAAACATTTTCAAAATCCCAAATATTCCTTCCAGAGGTCATAACTCAGAAGAACGTCTTCAATGCAATAATTCTGGAAATCTTTCTCTGCTAGGTACTCCAAAGAAAACGATGTAGTGTTAATACTGCATGGTAGTACTGCTTTTTCCTGTTCAACAAGTCTAACATTATATGCAAAAAATGACTTTTCTTATTTTAAGACACTGCAATGTCTATAAATGAAGATGTTGCTGTTCACATCCAGAAGTTTTCATATCATACCTAAAGTATCACAGGGCTCATTTTTCCAGGAGCAGATATCAAAACCTGTAAGCAAGATGGCATGGTCGTGGCGCTTTCCATTCTTCCCAACTAGAGCAGATTGCCATTGACAAAAGCTATTCAGTGACTGGTCCGCATGGTGGTTAATCAGTAATCCACCCTGTAGGTATTTCAAAGACAGAAATAAGATGCTTCCATCAGCACTTGAGAAAGATCACTGAAGGAAGAAGAGTTAATTAGGGAATAGGGATTTTTCTTTCTCTATGTGAACTTATGCATTCCTATGTTTATTGTTTGTGAGGACCAGCTGGTGAATGAATGTATTAGAATTACAGAATAAAACTGAAGCATTCCCCAAATAATATTTTCAGAGTCAATGGTTGGAATTACAGCATACAAATACATTTGATTCCCAATTAAGCTGAATGCTGAAATATTTTCTACCTTGTGATTAGTATGTGTGATACTTCTCTGGAGGACAAATATTATCCAGGTAAATGAATACCTCACAAATTTCTTTTCATCAGAAAGGTTTTTTCTTCTTCCCTTTCAGGACCATTGACAAAACAGTCAGCTCCATTCCCACTTCTGCTGTATGCTGTCTACACTCTGACTTTTGACTCCTTCCTTCTGATTATCACACTGGAGAGCTTAGTTCAAAACCTTTCAACGTATTTAAATGATTCTTAATTAGATTTCTCTTTACAGCTCTCTCTAAGAAAATGCAGGATTATTTTTAAGATTTATCTTAAGGTTCTAAAGAACATTTAAGTGAAAATTAAGATTTAGTATTAAAAAATGGAAAAACATGGAATGTAGAAAACATGCTTTTTGAGGTTTTTGTTATTTCAGTGTTCTTACATTTTATATCATAACAAACTCTAATGAAAGTTCACATACATAAAATGGGAATGTCCAGTGCTCCTTGTGAACAGTATGAAACAAAATATACACCACAAAAATTCTGACACAACTCACAGGCTCTTGTTCCAAAAGGAGGAGGCTCACAACGATAATGTTTATGTCACTTCCAATTGTTCCATCTTTAAACAGACTAGAAACCTGCAGTAATTATTGAAGAAGAAACATCAACTACATATATAAAAAAATCCTTTTAAAGTAGACTAGACGCATGAATTGAGTTATCACATTCAGCTTCAACTTTCAGTACATTAATGAAATTATATACCTTGTAGGATTAGTCCAAACCCAGAATTATGCCCCAAACCACTCCACTTATTCAAAGTGAATTTTTATTTCTCATGAATGACTCCTTTGTACTACACGATACACATTTTAGAATTTAACATTTTTAAATATTTTCCAAACATTTATGTTCTTTACACGACAGTGATCTAAAACCCTTTTTTTAAAAAGCTTCTTGACCTAAGTAATACACTAGATGACACCTGAAGAAGAGTTTGTGTAAGGTGTGCATGCTCTTTTGGTATCACCATTTGTCTAATGAAAGATACGAGTTTGACAGGACAATATTCCACAGGAAAAACATCATAACACACTTCAAGTACATCAGATCTTACCATATTCATAACTGTTAAAATATATGTTGTTACATTTTCCTTGCCATGTTTCTCCACCATTTTTTTATCTGCCACAACAAGAGTTTCAACATTTAGACTTCCATTTTTCTGAATTTTAGCAGATGATCTCCTGAACCTAGCAGAAGTCCCATATTCATCTGAACGAATATATGTCTCTTCTGTGGGTGGCTTAGGTGCATCTAAAAGGAAATAAAACTCAGTTTGGGGAAGGGTTCAGATCATTTATGAGCAGTTTTCATCAGATAAGGAAATAAAGATTTAGAGCCTTAGATTATTTTTACAGTATGTAATACTTCTGGACAGGAAGCTCTTGTATATTTATCAAGAAGATTTGATTCCTTCTTCAGGGTAGGATGATTACAAGAAGAGAACTAAATAAGAAAACCATACACATACATATAGTGTAAAGTAAATAAATAAATAACCAATACAATAAAATGGTGGCATCTGTGGGAAAAAAAATAAAAATAAAAAATTAACAGAATACCCATATTTGGCCTGTCCTGAGGAGTTTGGGATGTGCTACTTACATAGCAGGGTTCATAAAAAAACTCCACAACAGATGTCCACTACCAGCACAGAAAGGAAATACCACAAAAGTAAGATTCTTGTATTCCTATTTACATGTTCTGTAGACTAATCTACAAGCAGTAGAATTTTGCTCTTGGATGAGCTTCACTGCTGCTAATAGAACCTAAGCAGAAATATGTTTTAAGCATGGTCTACTGACTAGTCACTTTTTATGATCTGAAGACAGATTGTGAGAAGGAGTTTGAAAGATGATTATCTTTTCCAGCCCTTACAAACTCCCAACACAGGAAATTTTAAAAGATGGTGAGTTGGTCAAGCTGTCTTTATGACAGACTGCTCTTCCCTCCTACTGTTCAGCAAGCATTGATTCATTCCTAGGTTAGGTTAAATTAATCTTAAATACAGGCAGTATTAATAGAATTGATTTCTGTTCTGCTGCATACTCAGTGCTTGTGCATTTGTTTTTTCAAGCTAAAATTTTCTATTCCAGGTGGCCAAATTAGATGTTCTTATTTAATACAGGAACCAGCACTGTGTAAAAGCTGAGGAGGACATGAATAGTTCTGAATTTGGACAGGCAGTAATAGAGGATAGAGTGAATAAGATGTAAGTAACTCAAGTGAACAACACAAATAAAATAAGATACCACAGAGCACATGAGCTATTCTAGCAATATTTTGTTTGCTCTGAAGCAGTCAGCACAAAAACCAGATAGGAGGGAAGGGTCTCCTGTATGTAATGAGGTAGCTTTAACCTACCTCAGAATGCACAAGTTTACAATTTGAATCACAGCACCTGGCATTGAAGCCTAGCTTTCAATTCAGGAAACAAGGCTTCTGAAGAAGCAGTCAGTTTTTAAAAAGCAGTTTTCAGGCTTCAAATAGGCATCAATCTCAGACAGCCATCATTTCTAAGATCTCCTTTCTCATTCCTTCCCTTCTATTTGTTTTTTCTCTGCATTCCCTTTATGGCTTTTGGAAAAGGAACTTGCTCACTTGCTCAAGCAGGAAGCTGGAAGAATATAACTGGATTGACACTATCTTCAATATTGTGAGCAATCCTAAATCCAAAAGACCCTTATTAAGAAATTCAAGTCAGAAGCAGATCAGATTTCAAAGAGACTCAACTGAACATTCTAAGTACACATATAGAGTCCAAAGGGACTCTAAAATGCTTAGAAATCTGGGGCCTAATGAAAGACTCAGAATAGACCTTGGCAGGATAATATGTTTTAAAATGTTTTTTAGAAAGTGGCTCCAAAATTTTATTTAAACAGTTTAGTTAGGAAGTTCTCAGTTGCTGAAAATTTCATTATCATATGGTGAGTTCCGACAGATTTATTCTCCATCCTACATAAATGAATGATTCAGAAAGCTTCTCCTCCATCTTTAAGCCTAATTAATTATATTTCCCCAAACTAACAGGGAACAGTTCAGGGACTATCTGTGGAAGAGCAGCAATCTGAAACAGAATGCCTTACTGAAAACTATATAAATGTCAAAAAAAAAGTCAGGCAAGGGATCTTTTGATCTAGATAAACTAAACAGTGATTCCGATTGCTTAATAAAGAAATTATGAAGTCAATTTAAAGGAATAATCACATTTCCCATATCTATTTCTCTTTATAGCCATACTATTTTAAATTATTACATCTCCATCACAAAGCTGACTAAACTGCAGCTATCACCATACAGTCTCTAAGAGCCACTATCTCAAACAAGGAGAGAAAGTTTCCTTACATACATTTCTTGCGACGTCCACAAAAATGTTGCTTTTGAAACCTTCCATGATGGTAACCATTCGCTTGCGCGTGATACTTGTGGTAAATGTGAGTTCTATGATGGCCAAGAGAAAAGGATTTGGGATTGGACTGTACTGTGTACCGGTGCACCTTTTCTTCAGCTGTTCGTTTATATAAGACATGAGGATGGTGCCCAGCAGGTGATGTGTAGTTGTGCTCCTGCGCCAGCTGCTGAGGTAATGGAGATATAAGGAATTCGATCTTCCGTGTCCTTATCAAACCTGACTAAAAAAAGGAGCACAAATTAGAGGACGATTGTCAAAGTTTACGACTGGAACGTGCTAGCTCTTAAAGTGATCTTCCAAAGCCTCTACACAGACTGAAACGTGGTCCTCTAAATTGGATTTACTCCAGATTTAATCTGGATAGTCCTCCCAATTAAATATACATTGTTTCACTTTGAATATGGCCAAGTTTATGTTTGGTAACACGGAGAACAAAAATGTTGTACCCCACAGTATTAGCATAGCACTTTCGCACAGTGTTACAATTAACTTTTTAGGCAACATTAATGCTGGTATCAGGTTAATCTAAGCAGAAATCTAAGCATGTTATGGTGCAGCCGTACAAAAATAAAGCATCTAAAAATTTGAGTGCCATCATTCAGTGATCAACTCCCAACGATTTAATCAACATGAAGCTATTTACAATTTTTGTCCTCATACAAAAAAAAAAAAAAAAAACCTGATCAGTGAAATCAAGTATCTTGTCGTTTTCTTTCTTGGAGCCCAGAAGACCGAAGTATGGGAAATCTATGTTGTATTTTTCACACAGTGTCTACACATAAAAATCCACATGTGATGAAGTGTTTCCAGGATCAGGGCCAGAGAAATGTGGGTGGCACTGAGGAAGTATTTCCATGCAGCTCATTAATCAGTTATGATTTTATTTCATTTCTTGGTTTTGTAAAACATGTAGCAATAAACACTCCTTTTTACCAAGTCAAAACCCAAGAAGTTTCATCAGGTAATTCTATTACATTATATATGCAATACTAGATACAGATTTTTGTTTTGCATCAATGAAGCTCTACCATGTGCCAACACTATCCTGCCAAAAACTGACATCCCATGAGAACTACATATCTCTAATGCTTCAGAAAAATATGTGCAGACACACAAATGTCAATTATAAACCATCTTGTCCAACTTATCAAGTCCCAGCTCACAATTCTACCTCCTTTCTCAAAAGACATTCTCTGAAATGTACACGTTAGACAGGTATTCTCTAATTTCACCTCTGAAATTGATGCTTTTCTTTACCCAAACCTCCTGCATCCAGAATGCCAGAGGTATTCAAAAGAGAACAAATTTTAATGCCTAGTACAAGCCCTGTTTTTTTTAATGATTTTTGAAATTTTCTGCACTTTCAGAACTGCATCCCATGAGGAAAAATCAACAGAAAATGTAAAGCAAGTAAAAATGAGAAGTTACATGTAAAATCTTCACATCTTTAACTGTCTACTAAGTCAATACTAAAACTGAATTTAAGCGTATTCCAGTTAAAAAGATATTTCAGAGACATACAAGCTCTCCATAGACTATAGTCAGGCACTATGCACTCTACAAGGAAATTCACTTCTGTTTTACCAACTCAGTTGCATCTTCATCATGCTCTCTGGTATGGAGTCCTAATGATATTACTGTTAAAATCATATTGTGTTCTTTATTTTGACAACATAATTGATGCCATATTATTAACTGGGATGGTCTGTTTGACTCCTGAAAATTAATATAAAAATAAAAATAGATCATACTATGATTCACAATTTACCCCCTCTCCTTTCTTCTACACAAATTCATAATAATATATCTACATCTACTTGACATTCTAAATAAAGGCTAAAATTGCCTCTGTTGATAAAAGAGAGGGAACACAGACAAGAATTTAGTTTGTCTGCTCAGTGCAATAAGTTGGCATATTTCAAATGTCAATTCTCATTTGGTAATGGTAAAGTACTTTCCTGTAGGAAAGAAGACTAATATTTTAATCTTTGTGATGCCATTATACAATTTAAAAGTGGTTCTGAGATGCAATCTTTATCTTCTGAAATGTACTGGTAACTGTGAAGTGCTACTTTTTTTTCTTTCTGCTGGAAAACAGAAATACAGTAAATCTGGTTTTTATTTCCCCATTTTAAAGATTTCCACATCTGAAATTATTCCTGTAGGATTCATTTTGTGAATGAATCAAACCATATGGAAGAAAGGATTTTCTGCATTTTCCTATAAGAAACCATCCCTGATGTACACCAATTTGCACCAAATGTAGCCCCAAATGTAAATTCTGTACATCCATCATAAAGGCAGATTAAGAATTGTGGGAGGGAAAATAAAATAAAATAAAATAAAATAATTTTAAAAAAAAGCAGACTGAATTCTGTACTTCTTGCATATTGCTGTACCACTTTGTAGGCTGTCATCAACAGAGTGCCTTACAAACGTATTCATTTTTTTCCAGTAGGAATGATCCTGAATGTCCCATAACACTTATTTTTTGGACTTTACATCAGATGCATCCTTCAAATGGCAACATCTAGTCTTACCAAGTCGTCATCAAGAAGAAAGGAGAAGTGCCATGCAGCAGTCTGGACACTCAGTCACAGACCATTCTCCATTTCTTTCCATTTCTTTCAGGTATGTGATGATTTCAATGAATCACATGAAAATAATCTCTTTGGTATTTCAAAAGCAATGCTGAGAATGCTGATCTGGCTTCTGACAGAGGCACTCCTCTGGATTGGTGCAAAGTGGGCAGCGGGACAGTAACTGCCAGATACCCTTCTTATAGGTTCTTGAGTGCTTTGGGTAAAGTAAAATAGTCTGCGACTGTGGCTGGAAAATATGCCAGCTGAGAAATACTGGAGCACAGAGGCAGGATACTAGCACAGAATCATCTTTTCTAACTTCCCACTGCCAAGGAATTTCAGCTCCTCGAAGCAGACTGGGTTTTGGCTAGTCTGTACTTCTGGGCAGTGTCAGTGTCCTTTGGAATTTTTCCTACACATACACGAAACATCACTGTAATCATCAGTTAGATGCAATACATTTCTCCACCTCAAGTAGTTCAGTAGATGAACAAATACTGTCAAAACTGTCATGGAAATTTTAAGTATTAGGTTTTCATATTGCCAGCATAGCTTTAAGTATACATGTGCTTTTCCTTGAATTAGAAGTCAATGATACCTTTCCATTAACTTTGATGGTTTTGAGACCAAGCAAGAAGAGGAACAGATAAGTCCAGACCCCCTTTTTTTTTTCTTCAGATTCTCTGCACTTGGAACACCAAGAGAGAAAGCAGCATGGCAAAATCTAACATTTTTAACGAGTCTAGACAACACAGCATGAAATTGACAGGGGACTCCCTCTGTCCCACTGTGGCTATCAGTAGCAATAGCAGTGATTGTGAGAATATGGTGGGAAGGAAAACCCAAGAGACTGCTCAGTTGGAATCTGCTGCTCTCTAGTTCTTCCTTCAGAACACACATTTGCTGTCCTTCTTTAAGGCATCTTCCACACCACTGGGAAGTAAATTGAAAGACTGTGTAATTGAAAGATCTGTGTAGGTAGCAAATAATTCAGAATCAATACATTGGAAGAACTTACAGTTTGTTTGCAGAAAAGCTGAGAGAAGATTGGAAGGCAACATTCTTCCCGCTCATTATGTGCAATGAAATGTTTGCTCAGCTTTGGGCTAAAGAAACTTTCAGACAAGAATATATCTTCGTAAGATTCCTAAATATCAGGGGCCTAACAATAAGGTAAGGCACTTGTTCCATTGTCTTGGTGCAGTTCAAAAGGAGGACAAATCTCAAAGAGAAGTTTAGAGATGGGAAATGATAAAATTTCAGCTTCAAGATATTTTAATATTATTCTAGAATAAAAACTGAAGAATAAAGGGAATTCTTTGAACTACCAAAATTTAATTTTAGCCATTAAAAACTAGATAAATCTTCCACTGGTCTCAAACTCACTCAGTAGTCTTGATAGAAAAAGGCAGAAAAATGTATGTTGAAGACTGTTCTCATTCTGCCTTTTAGTATAACTGCAAGTGGCTGCTTCCATTTGCCTTCCTCTGTTTTCTTAGACTTAGTGAACAGTATTGGAGCTTACCAGCCAGTAAATCTAATTCATTTGTATGTTTCAGGATCTCTAAGAACCAGACCCTCCATAAGAAATGCAATATTGACAGTGAGGGATACACCATGCAGAGAAGTATTTTTGGGACTTCTACTTCTTGCCTTAAAAACAACAAAAAACCCTACATTCAGAGATAGTAAGGAAACCCTTGCTCTCAACCAGAAGTCTCGTGGCTATCATTTCTCTATTTGCATGTAAGACCCTTTCATTAAATGCTAATAACATTAAATGCAACAGCTTGGCTACATGCATAATGAAGTTACAAGAGTTTCGTAATTGAGATAAAAAATCCAAGTAATGAAGTAAGGAGCATAAAGAAATGAAACAGAAAATTAAAATGTGAATAAATGAACTGCAGTGTCTCTGCTTATCAAAACTACTCAGTACTGACTGAGGGAAAACTGAATTATGGTTCGTATGACCAGGAGTATCTCAACTAAACCAAGTGTTAAAAAAAAATGCATAAACTATCTAAGCAATATAAGTCATTTCCAGAATGCTTTATTCAATGTTATGAGCATATAATAAAATTAAGTGTTAAAAAACATTTTGTCATAACTGGTGGCTGTTAAGACTGTGGCCAAAGAAGTTAATGAATCCTATTCCACTAGGTGGGTGTGCATGTAATCAAGATGAAAAATCTCTCAAAAAGGAAGAGTTAAATGTAGTTACACCCATTAAAATTGCTCCAAACATTCATGCAAAGTTTTAAGAGATTTGACACAAGGCCAGTCGAAATTGGCATAAGCCTTTACACAGACAGCAGTGGACATTGATCCAAGACTTCTGTTGTGTTATTTTCCAACTGTCCAGCTCTTAGAAAACACAAATCATTGATTCAAACATCTTAACGAGAGTTACAGCACGTATCAGAGGCACAAAGTACAGCTTTTACTTCCGCTTAAATAAAAGTGTAAAATAAGAACTTTTTTGAAATAGAATAGGAAGACATGACCTAAGAATGCTTTCTGGTTATTTAAAATTATCTGAGGTCCACAAATACAAGTTTCTTTTTATCTAGTATTCACAGTATATATTTTTGGAACCAGCTAATGTCACAGCATCCTGGAATCTTTTCCCATCGTT